GGGAGGGGGGGAGGGGGAAGTGTTGCCGGGTAGACGATTTCATGGCAGGAATATAAGGCAGGGCCGCGGGGATTTGCTACAGTACATACATCACAAGGAGCCAACTTCGAGTCGTTGACGCATGGAATTTTGAAATCATTTTACGCGCTACGAGGGAGAGTAATAAATTGTCACGACCGCCCTGTAGCCTTGGTATGAGGGGCAACGCGCCTTCTGTGGACCGGGGCAACCTGGACTCCTGATGGAGGGGCATACCCCACACGTGGGTGGCCAGTCGCGTGTGCATGTGGTTGCAATATTAAGCTGCGGCACGGAAGAACTGCAGTACTGCCTACCCCCGAAAGGCGTGCGAAAGCAACAGTGACTGTCGGCCAGCGCTCGGAAGTTTTAGATTAACACACCACTGGCACATCGAGGACCAGTACAACAGGCGAACAAACAATCCAAAAATACGCTCGTTCCGTTTTCCACACATTCCACAGCCGAGCACCTTCCCCCAAGCAGCGGTACAAAATTGAATAGACGCGTGTACTACTTTTCGACGGACAAAAACAGAACATGCGTTCCTCCGACACAATACGTGTAGCATGTGATGCGTCAAGCTCGCGGGGAGGGAGAGATTCTCTAACTCTAAATAACTTGTTCTGTCGCCGGCTCACCTGAGATATCGCAATGGTGTTGACGACGCTAAACACGCCAAGAAGGGGGAGAGGGAACACGAGGGAAGACGTGATGGCGTTCCACACCCACTTGCCCCCGCCGAGCTGGCGGTACAACCTGCAAACCGGGGGGCACCGCATCATCATACCGCACGAATCACAATAATGTGGGCATGCCAGCAGACATATCGGAACATACAGCGGAACTCGCAGACAACAAAAAAATAAATAACCTCGCACTATTTGCTTGGAAAAGAGAGGATGCAGAATCGTCCTTCGGCGCGAAGGAAACAACAACCAAAAGCAAGGAAGCAACAACCACGCTCCCGAAAAAAGAAGCGCCGGTGTGGCTACGCACACGCACGCGCACACCAACCTTGCAGACACGAGCCCCGAAACCCAGGCCGTGAGCGAGTAGAGCACAAGGATGCACGTCAGGATGGAGCCGCGCTTGGTGGGGCGGAACACGCCCAGAAGGGCGCAAAGGAGCAGTGAGATCGTCACCACGCACAGCTGAGCGCCTGCTCCGGTTAAGGCCGCAAACAAGTTCACGTGGCTGCCACAACACCAAACCGCGGGGGAGGGGACAAAGAGGGCAATGCAGTCAAGAGGGGTGGCTTCGTTGGTGGTTTTGTGCCGTTGACAACCGACACCCGACAACTTCCGACAAAGAAACAATTGCGATCGCGGTACGCGTGGGAAAATCACTCGAAAAATAATTGAACGAGAGAGCGGTCAAAATATCTGAAGATTGCCAACTTGTAACCACCTTCGTGATATGTGTGTGACTACTAGCGTCGGCACCGAGCTGCGCGGTTGCATGCAACACCGAACTTGGAACTCCGGACACGTTCCCGACACGGAGCGGCAAACAGATGAACTTGTGGCGTCAGCCTGCCGAGGTCTCCTCATCCAACAACAACAAATTCTACAATGTTGGTGTGTCTCTGCCCGGCGTTCACTGTGGCGGTGTGTCTCTGTCTGTGCGACCTTTGTTAGCCCTACAATAGCCTCCGCGGGAGTTTGTTTACCTTGGGAAGCGGAACACGTCGCCGTGGATAAGCTTCCATCCCGACTCCTCCTCCCCGATGTCGTCCTGAACAAAGGTGGTGCAAAAAGAGAGCGCAACAAACAAAAACACGAAAAACAGGTAAGGAGGCAGATGTGGGGAAGGAGAAGGGGTTCATCTCGACATTTTTTAAGTCTTTCGAGCACGTCTTCAGGCCTCCCAACGTCCGTCCTGGAAACCAAAACGAATCATTCACGCCCACCATTCGCGCGTCGTAAGAGGCGTGCTACATCATCCTCAAGCAAAATATTCCTCGACCTCATCACGACGATCGACCAGCTCCAACGACGTCAACGAAGACGCTGACGACACCGAATAGAACCAAGACAACAGGGGACACCGAAACAGCCATCACCTCATCCCCGTCCATGTAGCGCGTTAAGTCGTTCTTTAGGATCCTCAGAAGGATTATGCCCAGAAAGACGGTGAGGATCACCACCAGCACGAAAGAGTTGATGATGGAGAGCCAATGAATCTGACGGGGCAGCGCCAAAAAGAGAACAAAAAAAAAAAAATTGGTCGTTTCGGTTTTCGATCTGCTTGCACAAATACATTGGAGTACAAAAAACAAAAAAACGACCCTTTTACCTCGAAGGTTTCCGGCAAGAAACCGCCGCCCGCCAACTTGTCCATCCGAGCACTGAAGGGAGTGTCCTCCGCCTTCCACACCACCGAGTACGTAAACTCAACCTCGATCTCGCTGTCCGTGTTGCTGATGTCCACCTACGCGGAGAGCCAAGCAAAACAAAAAAAGTGCGCCCGCCGGACGACAAGAAGGGCGTGGGGGCAGGGCAAAACGAAAACAGTCCGGGTACGTATTGTAGACGATTCGTGGACGAGATTGTGGTGGGTGAAGCGGTGCGCAATGGAAATAAGCAACATGAACAAGGGTGGAATGAAAGCAAGCAAGGAGGGCGGTCTACGCCTTGATTGGGCAACTGGTGCCAGCCTGGTCGTGCGAAAGTGGACAACGCAATAAATGAGTACTGTTAAATGGGGGCGGAGGCGCTACAAATGCTAAATGAACGCTGTGTGGTGCGTTTGCGTGAGATTATGTAGATTGGCCTGTGTCGCATTGGGGCGAGGAAACTAAAACTAGGACGATCGGTTGTGTAGTCAAGTCCAAATTGAGGCGACGAGTGGACACATGACAAAGAAGACAAAGAAAGGAACCTTGCGGGGAAGAACGCGAATCGGGTGGGCTAGACGGCGTACTCGACAAGAAATTTCCCATGGAGACAACGGTATTTGTCATAGGTATACACCCCACCAATCCGAGTATCACGCCCATACTGTTTTGTACTTAAACTTACGTATGGTGGCTGGTCCGATTCTGGCTCGTGAGGGTTAGTGGTCACCGAGACTATCCGGTCTCCATTGTACCTGTCGCAAGAGAGCGAAAGGGGCGGTGGGTGAGGATAATCAATTGATACTGGTGGCTAGAGTCTTCGCGGTGTTGTTCGAAGAAAAAAAAAAAAGTGGTACAACAACCAGCCTTAAGCCACCAGAGAAAAACGTGATAACAAAATTGGCTGCTGCTGCTGCTGCTGCTGCTCTACGCTCCACGTTGAGGCCGGCGCCAACGGCAGAGTCGAATGGGTAGTGGGTGCCCTCAAGTTCTCCGAAGTCGAGCGTGTCTAGTCATGTAGTCACTCCGGAGTCAGACAATACGGCAAGGAGTCCTGGCGACCAGCTTCCGTGAAACCAAACAAAACACGCGTACATGCAAAGAGAGAACCACCGAGAGCATGACACACAGAAGAAAGAAGAAAAAAAAAGAGGAAACAAACAACCAAGAATTGTCACTGCAATTACTACATGGAGGCGGGTCACGGGGGAAGGAAAACACTCACCCGATGACGAAGTTGATGTGCTTGTAGAGCTCCACTGTACCCGCGCTCTGCAATAACCCCAACGGGACGTGGATGTCGTGTCCAGTCACCTGGCCAATTGGCCTTACACGCGAAAAGCGAAGGAACCAAGGGGAGCAGGGGGTGACGTGGGTACACCGTATCTCTGACGACGTGGCCAAGAATGCCCTGACCAAGCAAGAGAGGGAGGGTGCTGGTAGTGGAGAGGAGCAGTCGCCGTCGGCCCTCACCACGGAAACGCCTGCTACCGAACGGCTACATGGGGACAAACCGTACAGGTACAGCAGTACAGAAGACGCAACCCCGGGGGCGCCAGGCACTCCAGGCACAAAAACAAATCCTGACACAGGAACAGGTGCTCCACTAAGAAGCCCACACTAAAGTCTTTACAGTCGGTGTTGAGTTATCTTCACCTATATACCCCACAGGATAATAAGAAATGGGCCCCCGAGGAAAACAACAGGATCGTAGTCATAACCCTTACGTGATGGTGCCTATATATTGCTGTATTCAAAGGTGGACCAACCCCGCGTTTCGGCGGCGACATACTGGTCGTTTCTTTCTCCCCGCCTGGGCCGTCGAAGAAGTCCAGCTCGATGGCTTCCGAATAAGACAAAGACAAGAGAGAGAGAGAGAGACAGAGAGAGAGACAGAGAAATACAGCAACGATCACACGACGAGCAAAAAACAGGACCAAACACAAGGATGAAAAAAAAAAAAATGAGTCTCACCCCTCGACGGGTAGGTCGTCAACGAAGAACTCGAAGTAGTAACCCTCCTTGATGGCCTCCGACAGCTGTCGAAGATCGTCTGGAAACAGCGTAGGCTTGCACAGCCGCATGATCGACATGTTGACACCAAAAGATAGCTTGTAGTCCGTGGACACCTGCTTGTTGAGCGGGCCAGAAACAAGCACGCCATCATCACTCAAGAAAAAAAACCAACACCCCGAAAAAGAAAAGGACTATGGGGAATTTCGAAAGACAAAAATCGCAGCTGAGGAGGACCGTGTACAAGCCTGCTCGCTCAGTACAGTACTCAAAAACAAACAAAGGATTTGATCACACAAGGGCGAGGCAAGCACCCGCTACAATACACATCCTACGAATGACTTCGCGTTTGACGCACTTGAAAAATAAGGCACATCGTGTGCGACCAAAAAGACCGACAAGAAAGCAACGACGAAGTCATGTCGGAATTTCACAGGTTTGTGAAACTACGAACACGACATGAGCAAATACAGCACCAGCACCCGGTGCGCCCACACCAAGGCCATCAACACCAGCATAGGTTCAGCCACACAAGAAAAAAAAAAAAGACGGCCGGCTCGCCTTTCGATCCCCAACAAGCATCTCCCCGAAGCGCTGACGCTCGCGCTCTGAGATCTCGGGCCGGCAGAACGGTAGGGAGTAGTACTTGTACGTCTCCGCTGGGTTGTTGTAGGGGAACACCTGCAACGTCATCGTGTTGTGGTTGTGGTTGTTGTTGTTGTGGCGCCACTAGTGCCGATGCGGTTACATCGATCGTTGTAGTGATTCTGCTGGTCATGCGGCCGGTGTATTCTTTACGCCATAAACAGGAATAAATACTCACACAAGTGAGAAAAAAACACGGTGGCTGTTGGTATTCGAGAAAACAAAACACCACCGTGTAGTGACGAACAAAAAAACATGCGGAGAGAGACGTGGCTGAAACAAAAATAATGGAGAAAATAGGACAACATTCGCAGAAAGGCACTGCCAATTGTGGCTGCTGTGCGGCACGTCCCACAAAATCCAACAGCACACGGAGCCGCACCACTCTGAGACGCTGACCAATACGAATGACCAGATCCACCTAGTTGACATAATAGATACCTGTTAAGCACAACCGTGACGCCGCTACAAGACTAACGTATTTCATTGGTCAGCCGGTAATAGCGCGGCCGATGCTAACTAAGAGAAAAACACAAACACAAACACACGTACACCCGCGGTGCAACAACAGCGTCACGAAAGAAGAAGCCCGCTGTTGCTTACATTGTTGGCGATCACGGGCACGTCGTCCCTGCTCGAGTACGGCTTCGTCGTCGCCTCGCAGGGACCCGCGGCCAACAAGACCGCCGCCGCCACCACGGCTACAGCAAAACGCATCAGCGATGAGCCCGCCAGTCCCCCTCCTCGCCCCGTCCCCGGCCGCCCCATCCCCTTGCCTCCAGCGCTGCTGGCTGTGATCACCCGCAGCGGCGACGACGGCCGGCCGCCAGACCTTCTCCGTCTCCAGGCAGAAGACGCGGAACGAGAGACTCCTCGCTCGTCCGATGAATTGGCTAGCGCTGTATGCCGCTCTTTCTCTCGGTTCATCTGTTGACGACCCCCCGCCCCGTGATGAATCTTGCCCCCCCCCTCTATGCGCGCGAGCCCCCCTCTAGTAGTCAGGGCTGAAACACACACACACACACACACGGCCCAGGCGTGCCAAGCTCACTCTGTGCACGACCTGTAAACAGGTGCACAAGTAGCGCCACCACCAGCAAAGTCCGCCGGCGAGGACAGAGCTCCCTTTTCCCCTGGGCTGTTGGTAGTATCTGCCTCTTCGGTTCCGCTTTGGGGTGTACGCCTTGCGCGGAGGGAGAACGGGAGGAACTTGTAGCGTCAGCTTCTACGCGTCAAAAGGCGAACAAAATCTGGTGCTGTGGTAGTCGGGGAGTGGGTGCAACGAACACGAAAGGTTTAACATACGGTGTATGCCTGTGGACGTCTGCGTGTTTGCCGACGCTCTCACAGGCTTCCGGGCCTTGCGGGAGAATGGCGGTGTTCGTCTGCCCATTTCCTCTTCCCCGCCCGTTGCTTTGGTGACTCGTTTCGTACTGAATCCATTATAGGTGCAATTCGCTCGGCCCGGCCGATGCTCGTGCGGAGGCGCATGGCTGTCGGCTAGGTGTCACCACTGCTGTGCGCCTGTGTACCGAGGGAGCCGAGTTGGGCTGGGAACCGCCATCGACGGCGACGGCGTCATAGGACATATGGCACCGCCATCAACACACTCGCACCCTCACCCGCTGTTTCGGAGATTGAGATTGGCATTTGTCTTACACAAAGTATGGCGTACATAAAACTATGCTGGCAATTCTCCGCGGCTGAATAGGTACCGAATCGTTGCTAGGCACACAAAAACCATGCTGGCACAAATAGTTCCTCACACCAAGCAGGTTTGTGTGGTGTCACTACCAACACTGTTGTTGGTGCGCGAGGTTGTGTGTGTGTCTCCGTCGGGTTTGGAGCTCTCCTCCTACTGCTGGAACCCAAAAGAACAGCAGTTACAAGTACCTGTGCTTTGCATAGAGGTATTATTAGCTTGTGCTGAAATACGTCGGAGAAGAGATGAAAAATCGAAAATCCCCCCGCACTTGTGTGGCAGGTGGAACAAGGTCCTGAACTTGTGTGGCAGGTGAAAAATGCGTGGGGACGGTGAGAAAGCTAGTGGGACAGCAGCAGGCCCTGTGACACGTTTATAGTGTGCAGCCATCGGTGGGGAAAAGAGCAATGGTCCCACGGTCAAGTGCAGCCATGCTGGACAACAACGCGACATTTCAGCTGCACAGCAGTCTAGACCGAGCTGCACAGCAGTCTAGACCGAAACGCTCCAACACAACATTGTACTGGTCTTGGCCAAGAGCTACTGCGCTGGGCCAGCTACGAGGTGCTTGCTTCGTGCGTGTCTCGCTCACATACGTTGCTACCAAAGCACCCCATCTCCCTCTACCCACACGCACACACATGGGTCGGGGTTAGAAGGAAGGTCTACCGCGGCGGTAGGCGTGAATGTGGCGCAGAGATCCGACAAGCGACCCAGACAACCCGGAGGAGAGTCGTTCAACCGGAGGCTTCATCGTGCAAGCTCAGAATTGATTCAATGCAACACCATTCCTCCCACTCACCTGTGGTGGCTAGCTCTCTCCAATGGTTGAGACGTGTCTGTGCTCGCTGTCACCGGCTGTCACCGCCGGCGAAAGAGGGACACGCTGCGGTAGAGAGAAAAAGGGGGTTCGCAGAAAGAAATTGGGGTAGGTATAGGCAGAGCTGGCAGGGGAGCGGAGCCAGGAGCGGAGAGTCGAGCACAAGAGAGCAGCGTTCATTTCTATTTCTTCGTACACAAACACGGGTAGTGCTGTGAGGTGCCGAGGATAGAGCGATGAAGTTCACAGCGGGAAGCAGCGGGTTGGTGCTGGGGTTGGTAGGCTGCTCTCAGGCCTTCGTAACTCCCCCCGTCACAGGTGAAATTCTTTCATGACAAATGAGACTACGACGGCGTCATGCAACAGCCAATCTCACGTTGAGAGTCCTCGTTTGACCACGATAGAGCTACACTATGATGTCGCACTTGTTCATACATCGGAGTGGAGTAATGTTCTCTGCCCGAGGATTGGAACCGCCTCGTGCTAGCATCGGAAGCGTTGAAGCCGTACTGCCGTAGAGTTTCCCACGCTGTCTCAGAACCATGCCGCCGCTTCCCAGCAGGCATACGCACTGCTGTACATGCACCCGCGAGATGATGTCAGCTAGCGGTCGGTTGAAGACAATCCGCAAGGCGCTCGCCGTTCTCACTCTCACCGCCCCCCCGCAGCATTAGCAGTATGGAAGTAGTTATCTGCCACTGTACGTAGGGTTCTGTGCCAGCGTTGGACGTGATGAGCACCATCTCTCTCCGCTGACTGGGTCACGAAAGAAAAACGCACGTGCATCGAAACTTGAAGGGCAACTTGCACCGCGGGCAGTACAGCCTGCAGTACCGATGAGACACAGGGAGGGACTTGGGACGGAGGGGCAAGCACCCACATTCAAGTAGCCGGTCGTTGATGAGATGGACATTACATTTGTATTGGAACTGAGATTCATTGCCCCGTTTGATTAGGGTCTAGCCAACCTTTAGCTAGCAGCCGTTTTGCTTCCTTACGTCGGGCAGCCGATGGGAGAGGGGGTGTTGCCCGACATGATACATTCAACAGCAGTCCGCCCTCGCCGTCAGCATGTGTACACACAAACGTGCGCAAAGATTGTGAAGACTGCTGTGGGAAGATATCGCGGCGTGTAACTGACACGAGTCTAATGTGAAGATAACAATAACAACAACAACAATACTCTCGTTCTTAGCATCGTGTCGTATTTGCATCGTGCATACGCAGAAAAAACAAAATGCATCACCGTGGAAGGGATGAAAGGACTCGATTGGCGAAACAAAGCGGTCGTTCATGTTCCAGAAGTATGTTGTACTGTTGTGTTCATATACACCCCGGTTTCGTCGCTTGTCTCCCGGTTGTTGTAACATGCTACATAGTCATATCGCGTTTATGGATTTTTTTTTTATCCATCTTACGTATTTCCGTTTTGATTGTGGGAGTTGTATCCTTTGGGGGGTAGTTGACCTGTGACCACGGAAGGCGTCCGTGCCAGCTGTGGTACGATGTTAGGAGGTACTGAGTAATGACCGAGGACGGTCTTCACGGTAAGACGACATCCACAACAACCACAACCCGAAACGTCTATCGCAGAACCCCTTTGGTCTGAAGGCACCATCGAAATCTTTGGATGAAGGCATGGCACTATTTAGGCGAAACAGATCATCCTCATATCGGCCGCTTTTTCGCGTCAGTGCCTGCTGCAACGGCTACGACCAACAACACCCAACTGTCTGATGTGCTGCGCCAATACCAATGATGTTTTGTTTGCAGCATCCAACGTCTCCACACACCACATGAGGCCTAATACGTTGGGGTGTTGTTGATCGCAAGGGGCTTTGGCAAGGCATAACTGAAAGCCTCTCTCTCAAGCTCCACCGAGAAGTTTTTTTTTTTGTGGTCTTCAGAAACGATGCCAATTCGCTTCCACCCACCTACATTTCGAAAGCATTGGGTCTCAATGTCGCAGCAAGCAACCTTCTCAAATGTGGTGACACTGCTGTCTGTCGTTGAGAAACCCCGCCCTGGGACGAAGGGATTCTATTCGTAGTTCGGCACGTGCATTGATTCTTTCATGCTGTGGTGATGACCTTCGTACATATCGCGAGGGGTGTAAATTCTTGAAAATGGCCAAAGACTGTGAAAGAACGACCAAACACCCTTGCAGACTACTGTACCGAATGGTGACGTAGAAGCGCTGAAGTCCAGTAAAGGATTAAGTCTATGGCTACCGGGAGAAGCTGTCCTCGTTTGCGTGTGAACTGGTAATTGTGGTCCATTCCCGGCTCGTTGGGGAAGCGTTTGTGTGCGCGGAGGGAAGGTTGGGTGCCTCCCACCCCGTGAACGCGCAGGCGAAGCGACCACCGAGCTGGCTCTTGGTCCCACCAGCCGATGCCAGCAGTTTTTTATGCTCACGTAGTATCCGGCGGCTTCTACGGTCGTCGGCCTGACAATAGGAGCTATTTTTCAAAACACCACCGTGCTCGAACGTCTCTGCCTGTATCAGAGCAAGGGGCCCTAAATGGATGATGCTATGCATACAACAGGGGGAAAAGAAGCGCTAGCACGGGACGGCAAATATCTTCAATCAAGCAGCAGCCCGCAGGCAGCCTAGGACCTACTTGAGCAACAGCCTCCGGCGTTTTCAGCCCATTCGTTTAATATCGGCTTTATGTTTTCGCCTCCGCGTGTCCTTTCCTCTTGCACCCCGCTTGACGTGTGTGCTGCCCTTAACCCGCCCATTGTTGTTGTACCCGTCCACCTACGCCCCCTCTTGTATGGCGCACGCCGGCAGGTCTTGGCGGAAGGGTTTCCGCAGGGCGTTCGGCGGCGTCTGCGTCCGGGCCTCGCATGATGTTGCCGATGGCGCCCTTCGCGGGTGAGGGTGGCATGGTGTTTTTGTTGCGGCTTCGATGCGTGTTCGGAACTGTGCAACTGTTGCGCGAACACTTGTTTGCTCCACAAGCTTCGTTGTTGTTTGCCTCATCGCTGCCTCTGTTGCTCTTGTCAGTGGTGTTGTTGCGAGCCCGTGTTGTCATTGCTGACTTCACACCATGAAATCGTTGTCTGTCTGGCGTCAGAGACCCAACTCCTCTGTTTGTGCATGTGTACCCGTGGAACTCGCACATTCAGCACGAAAATGTTAGAAGCTCAGCCATAGGTGGACCAAAACGCCCGAATAATGTTATGGAGGGACGCTGACAATAGACGAGTGCCGATGAGGTAGAAATTAACAAATTCTCCGAAAGAGAATCACTGCCCATCGCGAAGAAGACCCAGTCAAAGGAAGGTTGAGCCAGGCGAGCACTGCACCGTTGGTTTTCCCGAAAAAAAGACGTCGTCTTGTACCAATCCCCCGCGAGATCAAGATCTCGCAGTAACACTCCCCGTGCGTCGCGTTGCGTGCAGGGGCCGCCGTGGCCCACCTGATCGGATCGAACCCGATCAACCCGGAGCACCTGGTCTCTGCCAAGTCGCAGCCCACCCACCTCGTGGCCTACAAGGAAACGCGGGAGGGGCTGTACGGTCCCTACGAGGTGGAGGTGCAGGAGCGGGCACCGGAGGTGAGAGGGAGAGGGGAAGGGGGACGACGACCGCGAGGTTTTTTTCCCTAAGCCTGACACAATGGTGTATCTACCGAAGAAGATTTCCAGACCACATTTTGAATCTTCAAACAACAGGACGTAGGCATACCTGCGGGTGTGTTCGTGGAATTTCCACAGGTTCACTTCGTCTCCGGCGAAATCAGCCCCCACCCCGTTACCACTCTGTTTATAGTATTGGGACCTTTGGGATGTTCCACGTGTGCTTCCGGGCGGTTCTTGTCTTTTGAGTTTTTGTCCAGGAGTAAGCGCACCCGCGTCTTTTCCGTGGTAGTTTTTTTGGCGGCCTGCCCGTACCCTACTCTTTCCGAAATCCCTCCATCCAATTAGTCGCCCCCCTACTCAAGCAGCGAAAATCATCCTAGGATGCTCCAAGCGCACAAGTGATGCAGCCGTCAGGGGAGAATTGGGGATCCAATCCCTACGGTCGGGAAGAGAAGCGAGGAAGCTGACATGGCAGTATCGCATGTGCGGGATGGGAGAGGAGAGGTTGCCGAGAATAGTACGGAAGGCGAAGTGGACAAACAAAAAGAAGGGTAGACAACCCACGGAATGGGTCAAGGTTGTAGAGGACGTATAGAAGGGGTTCGAAATCGACGAAGATGAAACGCTGGAAACGGAGGGTCTACAGGGGTTCAAGGAGAAGATATCTGTTGCTTGTGCCGAGAGAGAAGGAACAGAATCTCAGGAAAGAAACCGAGGATAAGGGGGGTCTAGAAGTGTACGGAATGTTGAAAGAAGGAAAAGGGTTCAAGGATTGCCTACATGGACCAATGGGTTCAGGGACTAAGCTCAAGGTCAAATTCAGGACCGGGGACATAGGCCTTCGAGAACGTCGACGAAGACATAGGACGGTAGACGACGAAGACGACAAGCTCAAATGTGATTGCGGCTTCGAATGCGAAGACCGTGTTCATGTATTCGCGGAATATCAGTTGTACGAAAAGGAGAGGGAAGTGTGCATGACTGAGCTGGGAAAAATACAAGGGACGTACAGGGAGATGTTTGAGGCATGGAATAGAGAGGAGAAGACGGTAGCTGGAGTAGGAAGTGGTTTGAAAAGGCGGGAAGGGATATCGTTAGGATAGATCGACTAGGGACGACATTTTTGAGCCACCTTTGGCAAAGTAGGAAGGAACGGTTGACCATCGGTGATCGGTCCGGTGGGAACAATGCTCCGTCCTCTCGAGGACGCGTGGTCAATGATCTGACCACTAAGGCATGCAAAACATAAGAGTACGACCCCCCCCCCTACTCGGCATGCTGCTCTGGTTTCTTCGTTGCGACTTGCGTTCACTTATGGAATGGGCACAAGTGTAGACCATGACAGAAATCAAACCAAGCGGTCCCATTGCACCGTGTCCGGAGACTGGTGCCCAACTCCGAAAATTTGGACATAGCGCGACATTGCCGTCGTCGTGTCTTCACCTTGGAAATCCGCGCATCAGCGTCCAATATATCCTGCCAGGTGTTGAACAACCAGGCCGAAAAATCCGGCCTGCCTGCGGGGGAAGACTAGGCTCTAATGCGCGGATTCTCTTGGTGAAGACACGACTACCGCAATGTCGCGCTATGTCCAAAATTTCGGAGTTGGGCACAAGTCTCCGGACACGGTGTGGTTGGAGCACTTCTTTTTATTTCTGTCATGGTCTACACCTGTGTCCATTCCATGAGTCGACGTTGGAATGTTCTATGTAAACCCGTGGCCTTGCTCTTCTTGACAACATATTATCGTCACCTTTTTTTTTTGTCCATGGTATCGTTCGTCATCGCCGGTCCCGTATGTTATGACCAGACGGACTTCGGAATCAGCACGTTTAAGAAGAAGGAGGAGACGGAGGAGGGGCGAGACAAGTATACTTCGGTTCTGGCGGTGCTGCTGGCCGGCTCTTTCGTGATCCCAATGGTGCAGTACTGGTGGTACATCCGCGATGACGACCGTGAAATCCGCTAGGCCAAGGGAAGGAGCACCGGGTGGCACGTGGCGCCATCGGGTAAAAAAACTCGAATACAAAATAATAACCATAATAATGTGTCGTCTTGTCTCAGTAGGAGCCTGGTACAGAGCACGGCAGTAGTAGCGGCCGTCTACTTCCGTTTGGGCTCAGGCCGGGTGTGATCTTGTTGTTGGAGAAATCAAACAGGATCAAGGAGACGGAGATGGAGAATGACGAGAGATACGGAGCGTGGGGATGGAAACAAGATATCGCCCCGTTCTCTCCATGCACGTGGGGTGGGCGTAGCGGGTACATAATACAGCAGAGTAGCGGGCGACATTGCAGTGTCGCTTGCTTCGTAATAGAGTCCATAGATAACCCCCTTTGTGCACCCCGGTGTGGCCGCATGCGCTCGAAACCGCCGGAAGTGTTCGTGAACTGGTTGGAAGTATTTTAGGGGGAGGCTCCCGCTCGCCGTGATTCGGGGGAAGGGTGGTAGCGAGAGCTGCCGAGACGGCGGATAGTTCGCGCGTTCCTGTTGTTTTCCTTTTTTTGTTTTTTCTAAAGAACGTGGGGTGGGGGTGTCGTAGAGATCCCCGCACACGGAACGATCCATCGTCTTGTAGAGGCAGCGCATCGACGCGATCGAGAGAAAGGCAAACACCCACCAAGACCCGAAATGTGCATGCTCAGTCTGGATGTCATGTGTGTGGGCGGGACTTTTTTCGTGGATCGTGATTAAATCTTGATGAAAGAGGAATTTCCTCGCATTGGGGGGGGGGGGGGGGGGGGGCTTGTCCTCGTCCCCATCAGTGCTCACGCGGGAAAGACACGCCGGAAGAGAAAAATAGCTGCAACGACTGAAAAAGCACCTTCGCGAAGGGGACGATCATGATGGCGGCAGCCTCTGCATATTCCTTTCAAGAGACCGTTACGGTCTCAGAGGTCTCACACAACGGTAAAAACACAATGTGAATGAATGTCGTCGTTCACTCCGAACCTAACAGAGCCACGCGCTTTTCTGACGCGAACGCCCGAGGCGCCAGGAATCAGACCAGTCGGATGTCCTCATGTACTGTAGACGCCGCCAGCAAGTTTCATCTTGATTGGCGCCTCTCTCGTCAACGTTTGGCAGTGTCGGTGAAACAACAGGGTTACACCTGACCTGAACCCAAGTGCGGTCTATTTGTTTACCTGAATAGGCTTCTGTGCCATCCTTAGTGGAGACCGTTCCGAGGAAATCGTGACTGCTGGGATGAGTTCGTAGTTTTTTTGTCCCAGACCCAACCCACGTAGGTTTCGTTTTTCCGATGATCCCTCCCACACACCGAAGCAACAGCAGCACTAACGATGGCATCCGCCACGAGCTGTATATATGGCTCTCTTCCCTAGCCAGTGCTGTCTTGCCCCTCCCAGCGATGTTGCAGCTGAGTGCTTCCTCTGTATCCCCTGGGTAGGATACCGAGCAACTAACTGAAGTGTGTGTGTTTCTTTTACTAGCATCGACCGCGCCAACCGACTGACCAATGAGAAGACGTGAGTCTCAGTGCAGCTGTGTGTGTAGGAGATCACTGCTTTCGTGTTCGTTACCTCTCGTCCAACTCCCGGGGATGAGGGTCGAAATATCCGGTGATTTCGGGGACAACATTGGGGACAAATGCCTGTCAAGCACCGCCATCTGTTGTAGGAGCGGGTTCAAACCGGTGTGACGAAGAGTGCCCTAATTAGCTTCCTCCTCACAAGCCAGCAGATCGTAAATCGGTGTCCTATAGATCTCGTTCTCGTCTAACAGAGGCGATAATTTATTGACGTGCCGTTCCCCAGGGGGTTTTGCGGAAGGGTCGCCCTGCGCATTGGTTGGAAGAGCCGATATATTTTGAGCCTTTTTTTTTCCTCCTTGAGATGTAGGGAAAATATGGTCGCGCTTCGCGCTCCGCGGCTCGTTATTATTTCTCGAGTCAAACACTTGCACAGGTTGAAGATGCATTACGATAGTACAAAAGTGGTTGTGTTCCCCCATCTCCCCTCTCCTCTCCCCTCTCTCCCAGCCCCCCTCTCGATCCTGTGATCTTTGATCTGACAAACGCGGCGCAATCCTACCCCAACATGTTCCCCCTCGGGGTAAGTTCACTTGTTCCGCCGCGAGGGTGTGTGCGGGCGCTGTTCGCGCTATGATACGGTGTTGCACGAACAACCCACGCACTTCATGGCAACACTGCTGCCTGCGATGAAGTGTAATATCGTCTGCATCTGAAAAGGCGATGGGAAGGCCGTCTTCATATTCCCGACGGCGTCGTCGGCGCCATGCACCGGTTCACGAGGTGCGCAAAGGAGAAACTTATTTTCTGTCCTGGACACATAGAGGTGCGCAAAGGAGAAACTTATTCTCTGTCCTGGACACATAGACTACTACGTACATAGATCTATCATAGCATATATTGTAGCATGATGCAGTCTCGGTGATTTGAAGCGTGATCAGTATTTCGTAGTTGCACACACATATACTTCTCTCATGAAGACTATGTTTGTACACCGTGTGAATCGCGGTCAGTGTGACAAGGCACCAAGGCGTTCGTAGGTGTTGATCAGTCACACAGAGGCCTGCAGGATTACGGAAGGTCGAACTTCCTCCCGAGTACATAGTTAGTGAGGTTTGTTTGTGATAACTACTGTAATTGTTGTTGTTACTGTTATTGTTGTTGCTGTTGTTGCTGTTGTCTTGAATTGGGAAGGGTTCTGACCAATGTTCAATATCCCCTCTTCCCTACCCTTCAAGACAAACCAACAAACAAGCAAGTTCCAACGGGGGCGCTGACGAATGAACCCAGAACACACGCGATAGATTACAGAGCGAACCTACAATAGTACCCACACGGGTTCATGAGTGCGTAGAATTGGGAACAACGTTCAAAGTTAATGTACTGCAGAACGATATGGCTTCGTAAGGATGGCTACATGGATATCACGAGACTGTAATATCTTGCCACAAGTGATTGTTCAGAGAACATGTGTAACCTCCATGGCTGTGTTAGACCATGGAGCACGCAGACCACTGCATGCACATTCATTTTTCGCTCAAGCATGCACCTACAGCTGCGCCCAATCTTCTGCATCATTGCATGGTGCATGTACATTGCTGGCCAGCAGCGGCAACCATTATGCATGTGTCTGATACTCATCATGACGTACCTGCCATCCCTGCGGACACAATTCCGTCCGCCGTCCCACTCTGGCCATATGAAGCTGTGCACAGAGAAAGCATGTGTTGAGGTTGACCCATGTAACAACGACTGCAAAGTAGACGGTAAGTAGTATCACGCACGTCAAGTGTTTGCGCTGCAGCAGGGTAGGGTCAGTAATATTCGAGTCTTCTTCCTCTTCCTTCTCGCCCCTTCTCAAAGCCTTCTTTCTTCTGCACCCATGTTTCCTACAACGATATTCGAACACAGCATGGGCAACCTAGGCCGCCCGCGAACTTTCCCGAGTTCGAAGGGGTCGACGCCGAACGAAAGCGGCGCTTTTCCGCGGGTGACATTTTCGGCGGCCGAGCAACCGCTTCGCGCCTCTACTACTCCGCGGCTGAATGGGGCCCGCTCGGAACGCGAAGCGCGAGAAGAGTAGCCCACTCGGTGGGGAACGAGATTCCGCCGTGGTGAGCGAAAAACATCCCACTGCTGCCAGTAGCAGTGTTGACTTTATGGTAGTTCGGTCGTGAGACGTTGGTTTGCTGCGCCCGTATCATACCTTGCCTCCCGGTTTTTTCGTTTGACTTGTGATGCTGTTAGGCTACACGCCTTTCACAACCACTGCAGGTCTTCTTCGTACCAGTAGCAGCAGCGGTGGCGACGGCGGCGTGCTTCCCGCCTCCAACGTGAAGGGAGATGACGGCCATACACTAATCTTGCTATCCTACCCCACCAACAGCACAGCTAAACCGACAAGCACCATCATTTGGACGTGCCGCCTTTTGCGGCTGGAAACAAAGACATGGCAACAACAATTGGCCGGGGGCATAATTGGTATGCTCTAAAGCGGTCAATCCCTTTCTGCGGCCTTGCCTTTCACCAAAAACAGGAGCGACAACAACCATCGCAGGAACGACGATGACAACGAAAGCAAGAACAACAACAACAGCAACATCAACCTGAGTCGGGAAGAACGACACACAGACGAGCAAGCAAACACCACATCACGAGAGCCCCACTGGTCGCCCGGTGACCAAGGCCTGACCCTTCTCCGCGAACACCCCCTCGCTGCACAGCAAGATGGGCCGGGAACCCCGCCCCCTACAGTCCCCTACGACACGCTCGCACGTGACGGGCGGAAGATCGATTACCCTCCTTCCATTCCCTCCCCCTGTTCGGGACGGCGGCGACGCCGGGCCTCGTGGTCCGGACCGAGGGACTCCCGTCGGCCGGACGATGAAGAGTCCAGGTGTGGGGACTGATTGGGCGCGCCGCCTATGCAACAAGAGCGGTAGTACTGTCCCTAACAGGGCCACGTCATAGCGAAGGGAGTGAAACACGTATTCTGTTAGGCTTCGGGCCCGGAAGTGGACCGCTTGGCCATTGCTGGCCTCCTGAGCACAAGTCGACAGTAGCTCTAGAGAGCAAAAACTCGCTTCCCGTGGTTGGACTCATCCGTGTTGGATGAAACGACGCCGAGGTGTGAAGGGAATGAAACTCGAAGGAAGTAGCAACAGCTCACAGCGGTGGCCTCGCTGCTGAGCTGGCTAGCGCCACGCCCATACGGAGTCGTAATAGTGCGAAGATTTGACCACAATGCGTCAACCATTCCACCGCACGCACCCGCGCTTGCTGTTGAAATGTAATCAGCGAGTGCCACGAGGTTTCACCTCGGCCAGCGTCGGTTCCCCCCTTGCTGCAGCTGCGATGGGAGAGGCAGGGCGTGTCAGGACGAGCATACCAAAACGATGGGAATCCGTCTCTCTACCGCAAGAAGGTGAATCGCGTGTTGCGCTAGTGCTATCGTCATTTTCGCTGTTCTGGGTGTTGTTGTGGGCGGTAGCGTGGGTTTGATCGGTGGTGGGGTAACGTCGCTATTGGTTTATACCTTGGACTAGCGTAAGTGGTGGGTGAAAGTATCCCGCGCCCCAACCGGCAGCGGTCAAATCCCGTCCGTGCTTCTCTCAACGAGAACCTATCTGCAAAAGGTGTATTGGAAAAGGGGTTCAGGGGAAAACGCGCCGGTAGCGGATAGAGGACTTCCAGTGGCACATCAACCCAACGAGAAGTTGCCGAAATCAACTTGTAGACTGCATTCGAATATGGGACATGGTCTCAACCATCCTTACTCGACGACCCAGTGCGATAGACGGAGGGCTGGCTCACCACATGCTTCACGGCTGGCGATCGCTCTCGGTGAACACCATTAGGTTCTGCTAATCCCTCAACCATGAATCCGTTCTGTCCTGGCAAACAAATGGACGCGTGCACGTGCCCTTCGCAACCTCTGACCAGAAAATGGCAGCGCGTAGAAGGCTTTCCAAGCATAAAGGCATTCGTGCGGCGATCGAGCGGGGATGGTGGCCGTACCTTCCCCTGCGCTGGGTAATACTGAACGACCAGCATGTCTTGAAGGTGAAAAGCTGGTGCAGGTTGGTGGAAGGGTATTCATGAGCAGGGGGGCGAGGGGATGAGGTACAAAGGCTTGTTTGTGGAACCTCGCCCAGACAGAGTGCAAGGATGGGGGAAAATGCAAACAAATTTCAAACGGAGGGCTCGGAACCGAGTCGAAACTACATGGTGGACGAAGGTACAATGTTGGTGCCACGGTTCATTATGAATCATCTCAGTTCGGTGGTAGTACCAAGCATCTGTCTGAAGGTACCCAGCGAAGGGCGGCATTGATGTAGATACCGTCGAGAGAGCCTCCCCTCCCCCCAGTGCGTGGTCTGCACGCTTCACTGGAAGCAACTACCCGTGGACAAGCTGGACACTTGCCAGAAAGATGAATCCGATTCACGTTGAAACTGTTTTATGGTTCTTGGATGACGAGTTGATGGACACAAAAATGTTCGCTTTTCCACCAAGCAGTTCCTTTCGCAAAGGAGTGACTATGTAGAAGGACGTGTAGAGATCCATCCCGATTTTGTAGTGATGAGTCACTAACGCGTGCGTGAGTATGGTCTTTTCAATCAGACATGGAAACAAGTCGAAATGTCATTTACGTCGCCAGGAAACAGCCGGAACGAATCGGCCCGCGATGCGACGAACGCCTCCCGCGTCACTGCCGCCAACCTCTCACCGGTCGTACCGCTCCGCAGATCCTTCCGAGGCAGGGGTATATCCTCCTCTTCACTGCCATGTACATGACCCTCGTGCCAACGGCGGACGAGGCAGAGGCGAAGGAGACCGCGCGCTGGGAGTACGGCGAGGACGCGAAGGGGCTGCCCCAGGAACTCGGGCGGGCGGGAATCACGCTGGGGGCGTTCTCGGAAGCCCTCTTTGCCGTTGCGGACAACGTAAGAGAGTCTCTTCAGGCAGAGTCCCTCCCTACGAAGTTCCAATGAAAATAACGCAGAAATGACACGTGACCTGCAGTGGTCGCGAAAACAGGTAGAATCCACTGTACAGGCAACGATTGATGGTGAAGTTAAAATGACAACTATTGATGGACGGCTGAGGGGAGCCTCGCCAGCGCTTTTTTTCGTCGCTGAAGAACACGTTTGACCGTGCTCTGTGATACATCAATGACTGAAGAAACACCGGCACCGTTTCCACTGTGTACGGACCTAGACGGAAAAGGGAGTTCCTACACAACCGTAAACAAGCACTCGACCAGCTCCATTTAGTATCGATGTCGACCGGTTGATGGTTGGACGGCGCAGGTGAACAAAACAAGACTGGCAAATTCACGGATGTGTTGTTGTTTTGCTGGGCGTTCAACTAATCCCCGTTCTGTGCCCAGCCGAATAGAGTGTCTGCATAAGCTCATACGCACACGCTCCCCCCCCTCCGTCGACCAAAACCCATTTGCACAGTGGACCGAGACGGTGCGAGCCAACGACTACATCGAGTTCCTGTGCGTGCTCTGGGAGCGCGTGAGGCCGGACGTCCTCTTCCGGCCGCCGCCCCTTAAGCCAGAGAGCGACGACCCCCCCACGGCTCCGTCCCAACACAAGGGCAATCACGCAGCCGCTGCTGCAAATAAGATCGGTAGGCGAAACCAGAAAGCGCGGAGGAAGAACCGGCCAAAGGACGGGGACGACGATTACCTCCGCCTTCACGAGATGAGCCGGAAGGCGGCAAACGTGTTGGGCATTGGTGACGAGAGATGGCGTGGAGGAGGAGGAGGAGGAGGAGGAGGAGAGGGGAGAGAAGGCGAAGCGCTTGATGACAACCGCCGCGCCCCTCCCACCCGTCTTCCGCCACCGCAGACACCCGACGGCTTGCAGCAGCTGCGCATCCCGGGGTTTCGATCGAAGGAGGCGCAGCGTGCGGCGTGGGTTCGACACAAGCAACGCCGCATCGTCGATCCCGGCCGGGGGGTTCTGTTGGCTCCGGAGGGGATGGACGGTTTGCGCGGCATTCACCGCGGCGGGGGGAGGGGGGAGACCAGCGGTGGAGCAAAGGAAAACCAGCGGCAACAGCAGCAGAAACAGGAGACGGAAGAGCAAAGCAGGAAGCAAAGGGGACGGCGGCGGACGCGCGTGACTGGCATTCTGAAGGAGGCGGATCGTCAGCGCGATGTTAGGACTGGTGGGGGCGGGGGATACCGTCCAAAGGAGGAGGAGGCGGAGGTGGAAAAGGAAGAGATGGAGAGCATCTGGGATTTCATAACCAGGAACGTTCCGGTGAACTCTCGAGAGGTGAGGGGGGCGAGAATGTGCCGACCAGTTTGAACGAATATGAACCTTTCCCACCATCCCACACCCACTGAAAAAATGACCACAACCATCTTCGGGATGAACACATCCAAGTTTTCGCAAGCACGCAACCGCCCCACAGAGCCCCCACCCCCACCCCGGCCCCGCTTCTTCGTGCTCCACGTCTGCTGGCTGGACATCGGCCCTTGTCGCAACAGAGGGACGCCTTCATCCTCTTCGTGGAGCGGAAGCAGCCCGACCTCTTGGACAACAACAACAACATCAACAACAAAAACTACGGCAGGAACCCGGATGTCGGCGTCGGTGACCAGACAAAGCCCGCGCTTGGCCGTCCCATCTCCTCCCCCAGCCCGAAACGTCCTGCTGCTGGCGGCGGGGGCGGCGGTGGTGGAAGGGTGGCTGCGCCGCCCACCACCGCCACCGTCGTCCGGCGCTACCGCACCCAAGAGGCCACCTGGGAGAGGGCGCGTCGCCAAACCGTCCCCTCGAGAGCCTTGGGGGAGTTGCTGGAGGCATGGAGGTCGGGGCAAGAGGGGATGACGCCGGCGGAATACGGGGCGGCCTTCATCGGCCCTCCGAAGGCGAGAGACCGGGGGGCGGCGGCGTGGTTGATGAGAGAGGGGGGGGGGCGGGGCGCGTGTACATGTTGTGTTGCGGCTTTTCATCTACAAGAAAATGTTTTGGAAAGAAATCATTGTTTGCATGGTGTGGACCGACCCGAGGGATGCCTTTTGTGGGAGATTAGCTCCCGGTATGGGTTCGGAGAACACAAAACACGTACAGTCGTGGAGTTGGGGGAGCGTTGCGATCGGTTTCCGATGGATGCTTGCGGGTTGGTCACACACCCGGAACACAATTACGGGGGCGCTACAACGTTATTTGGTGTTGCTGCCAAATCGTTTGAACCAGGCGTGCGACGGAAAGAGTGCGTTGACTGGGCGATCTACCACCGTTCAGATGGGTTGTGGACGACGAACCAGTGAATCCGATTTGTTGCTACCCTCCATAGAGGAAAACTGCTTTGTCTCTTGCGCCGCACCCAGTTGTCTAACTTTAAGCTTCCGCTCATTCGAATTGCCGTCCCAATCTCACGCACCGCACACTATGTCGACACTTCCAGCGCGCCAGCTTTTTAGCGTACGCCATCGCCAACGGCTGGGGCACAAGAGCCGGAGGTGTCCACTCGCAGCAAACCCTGGATGGCGTCGCGGCGGAGTGGAGGCGCGGGAGTGGTCGCTGTCCCGAGGTGACGTGGTTGCCATTGTTGCGTTTCTGGTTCTGATCCCCCTTTCCCTCTTGCCGCTGCAACCGTCCACTGCGTTACCGTTGGCGCATAGTTCGTGGTGTAGGGGAGGGCGATCGCGGCTGCTGCAGTCACTTTCGGAGTTGGGCATTTTTGGACGCATCTATCCCTTACGCCCTCAACGAGCCCGAAATTCTGGCGTGCAAGATCACCTTCGCACGCTGTTCCAAGCATGCTGAACCGGTGTGAGTTTCCTCCAGCAACATCAACGGGCAGGGCTGACAATCGCACCGGTAGGGTCCTCCACAAGCACCAAGCGGAATCCCCAGGCTCAATCAAAGCCCGTGACACTCCGAAACACCTTCTGTCACATGCTACCCTCAAGCGCCGCCCTTCGGACCGCGGTCTTCGTTTTTGGGACAGGAAAAGATCGCATGACCTGTGACGGCCGTCAAAAGAGCCTTCTGTGGAGTTCATTGTCACTTCGTTTCATTCCAACCCACAAAAATGCTTCCGGCGCATGAAGGTAGGCGCTCAGTCTCGCCGACATATCCTAACTGTAGACTTCGCCGTGGCCCAAACCTCGTCCAAGTTGTGACAGTCCCTCGCGACCGAAATGCCCTTGGGGTTCTACAAGCGCGCACGGGCGGTGACCCTCACTCTCCTCCCACCCAAAACGCACACAAATAAAAAACAGATGGACGCCCTGTGGGAGGTTCTGCGAGATCTTCTCTGGGATGAGGCAGAAGGCGCTATCGGCGAGGCCCTCAGGTACATCACAGCTGTAGTCCCCCTGATCCTAATAACAATTAACACCCAAACCTGTAGTCCCCAAGTGATTGGGTAGCCCCTTTTGGCTTCGAACAGCACCACCGTGTACTATCCTAGTCCAAACATGGCTTACGTTTTTCGAAACGCCTGTTTACAAGCGCCCTCAACCAGCGCATCGCGGGTGGCTCCAGATTGACTGTTGATGGGGAGAAACCGAGTGAAATGAAAGAGCGTCTACCAGGGACATGTTAGGCATGTTAAGTTGAGTCCCGATTCAACGTCGTGTCGGTCGACTATGAACACGGTTGAAAATGCGCGGCCTGATTTTTTTGTTCCTGTTCCTACTGCCTTTACCCGCCACAAGATTTGCAAGCGTTGGTCTCGACAACTACCCTCAACCCCGGTGTCATGGGGTGTTGACATGGACGCCGTTGCGATACGGGGCCTTTCACGGTCGCAATTTTCAATTTCCTTGCCCCCTGTGAATACTCATAACGCCGGCACAACCTAAAACAAGAGGGAGGTCGACGGCCGGTAGTATTGTTGCCCTCTTTGTCTCCCTCATTTCACAACCTTTCCGCACGAGATGCGGCACTAGATAACCTCCTGCCCCCCCCCTTGTTGCACTTCACTGCTTTGGTTCATGCTTCCGGAAACCCACGGGTTGTTTGCTTGGGTGTGTGTCGTTTTTTCAGCGACGGTGTCGACCTGTACAGCATCCCCCACCGCCTTCTCCACGACCCGCCGAGAGGGCGACAAGGCCATAGGAGCAGTAGCAGCAGCATCAGAAGAAACAGTGCCCGCCCGGTGCTGCTGTCGCCGCGGCAGCGCGGTGATTACGACCACCACCAGCAACGCCATCGTCGCGCTTCCACGGCCCCGGCATCAACAGACGGCGCTGCGGCTGCGGAATTTGATGGCGAGGGTGTTGGTGGCGGGGACAACGGGTTCGACAGACATGGAGGCGGGGAAGGTCCCGCGGGAAGAGTGCTGCTGCAGGGAGAGAGGGTTGCCGGCTCCGTGCGGCAAGGGCAGGTGAAGCAAAGCGCTTCTTGCGTCTGGCTGGTGTCATCGTGCAAAATCCCGTCCCGACGACCACTCCATCGGCGCTATACGTTCACCCTCTGTGGTCTACTTCCAATTGGAGAGAGGAGAAAGGGGCCACGCAGACACTTCGTCCTGACCGTTGGAGAATGACCCAGAAACGAATGAACGTACATTACTCTTTGTCGTTAACGTCTCGTGGTTTTTTTTTGGTATGGCCAGATTTTCGGTTCACCATGCACTAAAATAGTGAACAAACACTTTATGAGCACTTGATGCTAACTCACAAGCGCTGTTTTTTTTCTGGGTATGGCCAGATTCTCGGGTCGCCATGCACTAAAATTAGTGAACAACCACTGTTATTGGCACTTGCTGCTAAATCACAAGCGCGGCGGTGTGTGTCATCCCTCCGACTGAAAAAATATCTACCACGAGTATAATTTGAATCATTGGTGGTACTTGAAAGGGTCGTTCTTCCAGTTGGGCAACTGCTCCTTTGCGTCGTCGCTCCTTTCCTTTAGGTGTTGCTCCGGGTTGAAGACGGTGACCCTACTGCGGCAGAGACAGCTTGGCTTCGTTCCCGCCGAAAGATGAACCAATTGGAGTTCTGAGGCTGCGTACCTAAACCCCAAAATGCCAGAGTGCTACGAGCAAGACTATCCATGAACAAAACTGGTGCCGCACGTCTCTGAGCCCCCCACCCCCCCCCCCGGCCTCCTTTGCCTCTATCCCGCTCATCTGTCAGGTTTGCTTTCCTCAGCTATCGTAAGCGTTGTCCGACACCTCATTCCAGCCTCTCACAAACCCCCCAAACTACCACCCCCCCGCATCAGGCCGCCTTCTACCAGACCCCATGTCCTACAGAGAGGGGAGCGTGCCTCGAGATCACCCTCGAGTCCCATGACGACGGATCGAGGGCACCGGGGCGAAGCAACGACAACGGCATACCGACCGCCATCAGCCTTTACGCCGTCCAAGCCCCGCACCGGCCACTACGTCTGTCGTTCTACACCTGGGTTTCCCGCGGTAAAACCCACCACCGCCTTCTGCTCAACTGGAAGGGCCCCGCCGCTGGATTGAAGGGGGGCGACGAGGGAACTCTATCCCCTGCCCCGTCCCCGCCCCGCACAGGCGCAGTCATTTCGTCACCATGGGATGGAGTAAGGGGATACACGTCCCCCCGCCCCGCCACGGCATCCGCCTCTAAGCCATGGAAGCCCGTGCCACCGGCCCCGATTCACATGGCGGTAGTTTGCCCGGAGCCTCCGCCGCCGCCGTCCCCGCTAGCCCCCGCTTTCGACGGCAGCGGCATCGGTATCCTCGCAGCCACGGCCCAAGCAGATGAAACGCTCGACGATCGAGGTATTTTCGGGGGCGTTCTTCAAGAGCCCGGGCGGGTAGAGGGTGGTGCTACCAGGGGGTCCGTGGGGGGACAGGTGGCGACGCCGAGGAGGAAGAGAGTAAGGTTTACAGTCCGGGTGAGGGTGGTGGGGCCTCCAAGGGTGGTGCTAGAGGGAAGGTGAGGTGTGCATCATTGTCGATAGGCAAAACTAGTAGAAGCAGTAGTAGTTGTGTAGTCGTCGCAACAGACGTAGTAGCGGCAGGAGAGGAGAGGGGGGGGGGGCGGGGGGTGTACTCATAGTCGTCCATGCCGTAGTCGTTTGACCATTGACCTCGCATCCCTACAAAGCCGGGACGGAGCACGCCGGGTTCTCACCGGACCAGGCTCTCACATCACCAAGCGCGAAGCGCCGTGAGGTATTTGGCGAGTCGCATGAAGGGTGAGCTGCATCCTGCTAAGGGTGTTCGGCATATTGTGCTTACTTCCTTGCGTACGGATGACAGCTGCGTATGACTAAATTGATTTTCTGGTGCTTTCACTTCCAGAGACAGTTGTAAGCACTGTGGAACTGCCTCGAGGAAGCTTGACCATTTTAACACAACGTGGTGCGATCATCCCCCGTTGCGCGGAGTGAGGGTTCTCTACCCCGCACAACATGATCTACTCGACCACCATTATGGTTACCGCCAAAAAAAAAAAACGAGGTAAAAAAAACAAAACGGTAACCTGGTTGCCGAGTTCACGAAGTGAAATGGCTTGTTTTACAACATCGTTGCCAAGCGACGAAAACCCAATTCCGATGGCAAACACCGAGGGGGGGGCTTGTTTTACAACGTCGTTGCCAAGCGACGAAAACCCAAACCCCGATGGCAAACAAGGCCGAGGGGGGGATCGGGAGGAGAGGGGGAGGAGAGATTTGTGAGTGGTCGGCATATCCCTGGTACAGTGCAGGGAAGGCACTCCTCATGCTATACACCCTGAAAATTTCCCTTTCATGAAGAAAGAGAATGGACGGCTTCTTCATGCGGGCCTAGGGTTGCCGGGCCTTCGTGGGTGGGGTGGTGGCGAGCCAGACGGTCGGCATATGATCGTTAGGAACGGCGAGTAGACACGGTGCAGCATTGCCTGGTGCCCAAAACATTTCTATGATCGAAAGGCCACGCGAACAATCCCAGCATTTCCCGTTTGTTTTTGAGCAAGTGGCTCACTTACGGGAAGATTTGGATGGGACGAGTACATTCAAATGTTAACCAAGAGGAATATTTTGCAATCCACGCAGACGTGTGAGTCCAACGTTTGGGGATCAGCTGCGAATATACAGCACTACAGAGCGCGGTTTTGAAGTACTGAACATTTGAAGGGTTGCCACGTGTCACCTGTTTGTCGACGGCGCCAATCGGACGTCAATACAGCTTGATCGCGGGTGAACCGGGCCCCAACCCAACGATATTTCTTGACGAGTGATCGTTCTCACACCCCGCGAACATGTACAAGACAATCACGGCGATGACCACCGCTCAAACGTGCTACCCCCCATCCCTTCGTCTAAACCGCTGTTCCCCCACATCTTCGTTTTCACTTTTCGATCGAACGACAACAGGTGGTACTCGCTTCCCTTCGGAACGGACACGGGAGGGGGGACGACGGGCCCGCATCCCCTGGCCGCTTTCGCCACCCTTCGGCTACCGACACCGCTCAGGGCGACTCGATGGGGCCCGGATTCCTATCCAGAAGATCCCTTTGGAGATCTTGATGTGTCTGTGTTTGCAGGGGAGGAAGACAGGTCCGGGTTCGTGGACTCGGAAACCTTGGTGACTCTTCAGGTGAGGGCGAGGCTTAGGCTAGGGGCCGCGTCGAGAGAAATTAGTTTAGTTGTTGTTCACAGATCGTGGTGTCTTACCTCTGACACTGCCTGGGTTTGGGTCTTTGCGGGCAACAGTGTTTCACTCACGGTAAGTGGAACGAAACCGTTGGGTGAGGTTGGTGTTCAATAGCGAAGAACAGCACTTGTATAACTGTCTTGTCAATACTGATCACGATGAAGAAATTCGAGTATTTTTTCTGTAGTTGTCGAGGTGCGCATCCAGGGCGTGCTAGACACCATGACTAAGTATCACGTCATCGTAGACATGGTTTCAACAGCGCAAGCGCTGTTTTGCTTGAGAACCTCATCGGAAAACGCGGGAAACCGCGCCTTCCGTCACGCTCGCTGAGACAATCGCCGTGTCGTTCCAAGCCCTGCTTTTTCCATCCTACCTTCTTAAGCAGCGGGTGCGTTTTCTGCTACCGCGGCCGTCTCCACTACCACCGCCACCGCAGCCGTCACCTTCCAAACCCTCCGTTGTCGCACGAGCCCGACTGGCAGCTGTCGGTGTATCGAGCCCCCTCTGCCCCTGACCTATTGGCAATATTGTAGTGTCTCCCACTTCTACGTCGCCTTGCTCACCGAACAGCACCGCCCACTCCTCTTGGGGAATACCACCAAGTTACACCTGACCGTTTTATGGAGCCGTCGGTGGGCCCGGCCAAACACGAGAAAATTGCGTCATTGTTTCTCGTTTTTTTTTCCTTCCTTTCACGTCGTCGATTCTGCACAACTCGACCCGCCACGGCCGCAACGAAGGCTCGACATTCGACCTGCGACCCTGACGCCGTCGACATCTACTGCGGCACCTCCCCAAGACCTCGCCCTAGCCCGGCCGATCACACGTGGCGGATGCCGATCGGTGGCGGCGGTGACGGCGGCGGCAGCGGGGTTGCGGCTCGGGTACCCGGAGCGGTGAGAGTCCCGCAGCAGCAGTGGCACTTCGACGGCGGCGGTCAAGTCGACGAAACCGACGAGGCAGCCGCTGACGCAATTGGGACTCACCCCCCGGTTTCCGACGCCGACGGAACCAACCCCCCCGTGGCTAAGCCAGCGCCTAGCCAGCCCGTCGACGGTGGTGGCGGGAGCGGGAACAACGGGACGCGGGGAGTAATTTGTCCTGCACCAGGCCACCGTCAGCCCGGAGGTAGGTGCGCACGGTGCTGCCGTGCGACGCCGGGCGTACAGACCGCCGCTATTGCATGCTGCGGATCGGAGTCCTTCGCGTAGAGCGCCCGCACACAGCACACCTTTCTTTTTTTTTTCAACCGTCCGCATTCTTCGAACAAGAACGGCCATCTGGTGAAACGGCCGCAAACACGTGTATGTATATGGTATACTTTTGCTTCAGATAATCATCATGGTGCGGCCGGCGAGGTCGCCGGCGCTGGGGTCAGCAGAATGACTGTGGCCATGCCAAGGGACCACACGGGCGCCTTCCATGGTGAGAGAGATGGAGCAGGCAATCCTTGTCGCTGCTTTCTTTGAAGATTACTGTTGCTGTCAAGAAATGCCGTACGGCTACTGTTGTTGCCGAGTTTCGACGCAACTACCCAATTTGGCGGTTTTGCGGGGCAGCTCTGTTCACGCGGCCGGTTGAACTTCCCCCCTCTTGGCTTGATCCTTTTCGTTCGAATTTTCGCACTCGCAAAATCCGTGCGGTTTGATTACTTGTTTCCTCTGTGTAAGTCGGCGTGTTCGGGAGGGAGCGCCGCAAGACCACCACCGGCGGTGGTACAGCGAGAGGGGGAACCATCAATATCAAGGCAAGAGCACGAAAACGCGTGGCAATGGGGAAGAGCAACCGATCAATATCATACACCCCAGCTGAGTGCTGAACTGCAACTGTGAGTTATTCCCCTCGGGCCCTCTACCTGCGAGCTTTCCGCAATAAGTAGCTCCTCTGTGAATGGATCCGACAATACACAATACAGGCGGTCGTGTGGTGCCCTGCTGTCGTGGTTCCCCCGCGCCTTCCCCTTTGCGGACACCTGCCCCGGGGGCAACGGCGTGAGCTGCTCTGGACTATTGGGCAGGACAAGCTCGTCTTCGAAGCGAGGGTCGAGGTGCGAAAGGGTTACGCTCGTTTTTCACCTGAGATCGACCCGAATTGAGGTTACAATGCCCGAGCGAGATTGGACGACAGCGCGTCCGATCGACTGGCCTCTCTGTTTTGCTGCCGGTAGACATAAGGCGTTTGCAGCTCGTTTGGTGAATAGCTTCACGAGAGTACACTTGAAGCTTGCCGAGTGATTATTTGCCGGCCGGATCGGTACCTCTCATCGATGCACTCCTCTTTTTTATTGGAGTGACCAACAAACCGCTGGCCAAGGCTCGCATTACAAGCACAACCTAGGACATCCAACTGGGTTCGGTCAAGGTATTTGTCAACATGGAATAACCATGGGGGGGGAGTCGTGTATGCCGTAGTCGTTTGACCATTGACCTCACATCCCTACAAAGCCGGGACGGAGCACGCCGGGTTCTCACCGGACCAGGCTCTCACATCACCAAGCGCGAAGCGCCGTGAGGTTTTCGGCGGGTCGCATGAAGGGTAAGCTGCATCCTGCTAAGGGTGTTCGGCATATTGTGCTTACTTCCTTGCGTACGGATGACAGCTGCGTATGACTAAATTGATTTTCTGGTGCTTTCACTTCCAAAGACAGCTATAAGCACTGTGTAACTGCCTCGAGGATGCTTGACCATGTTAACACAACGTGGTGGGATCATCCCCATGGGGGGGGGGGGGAGATTCTTATGCTCCCGTGTTCAATATTTCTCCTCCGAAATTCAGGTAACGCGGTTGATCGACGACCAGTTCGTCCTGAAGCAGCTCGAGTTCGCCCAGGACTTCCACAGGCGTTTCTGTCCACCAGGGGATGATGACGAGCGCGTCCCCGTGCTGGGGTCGGGACGGGCCTGCCAGGGTGTGCACACCCGACCTTTCTTGCTGGCGTCGAGAAGGTATTGTTGTTGGGTGTGGCGGCCAGGACAAAAAGCCAGAACACTTTTGTTGGCGAAACTGTGTTGCTCCAGATTTCCTTTCCCGTGGCAACTATCGGAGGCGTGACACTTGTACACAATGCTCGGTGTGCCGACCATGCGGAGACGGCGGGCATGACAAGAGAGGAGCGTGCCGTAAATGATCTCTCAGCATTCTCAGCACCCCTTTTTTTAGGTTTGAACGAATAGCCACGCATTGGCACACGGTTGCCTCCTGTCCGCCCAGCTCGGAGCTAGAATCGGGAAGCTGTGGTGGTAGAATGAACAACTGCAAACACCAATGACATGAACGGGACACAGTAGGCCAACCGGGCATCTTTCACGCATAAAATTACTGCTACGAAGTTGTTCAATGTCTGATCCCTAAATATTGACGGGTTATGGTAAGCGCTGTCTTCCCTGTTGCGGGAGGAGCTGTTCTGTGTTCTTTCCCTCCCAGCGATCTTACTACACGCGTCCGGCAGCGCCCAAATGGCCACGTACGAACATACCTCCGCTGTTTGTCTCGGTTTCCGCCCAACTTGTTATCGTTCGGGCGTCAAAATATATATATATCCGAATATATCTCTTCGTCTCTCCCAATCTCTTTGTTAAGGATCTCGCCGTCGCAGAACGAGTACTCGTGGCGGGGGACCAACACGGAGGGGCTGGTTGAGGTGCTACGCGACAGCAACCGGCCTGGTCGAGTGTTGACACGTTACACGGAAACTCTCCAGGTTTGTAGACTGGTCTTCTAAAGTTCTCGCGCTCTCGTTATCCCAGATTCCGGTCTATGGAAGTACAACACACGATGGTGGTTGGTGCTTGTGTTGGCCACTGCTCTCCGGCTCTGTTAATCTCGATGTTGTCGGGTCTCTTCTCTCTCGGTTTCCGTGTTCGAAGCAGTTTTCGTGTAAGCATGCTCCTTCTGCGGAAACTTGGTTGGGTCGAAAAGGGTCGTTGCGTACGGAAGCAGCCTTGGACACAACAACAAACACGCGTGAGGCCGACGTCTGTCGGAAAACGACGAAACGAAGGCTAGCACCGTAATGGGATAAAACGCCGTGCTACAACTGGACCGTGTGTAAAGGTCCACAAAATGATTACGGCTTTGTTGTAAGCTTGTGCCGATCAACAAGGGGATGGGTCGGAAGTGACGATTTTGTGGCCAAGCAAGGTACATGTTGGAGACTGGTCAGGTGAGGGCGAGAGCCACGGATGCTGAAATAGCTGTTGTCCTGACATATAGGAAGGATGGAACCGACTTGATGAGCTTCAACGACAATGGCATAGGACGGTATTTCCCCCAACCCGTTAATGTGATTGAAGTTTCCCGCTAGAGCTAGCTCCATATTTCATCCCTAGCGCTATTCTGAAGGCATGTCCAATGATTCGATGTCTACCAAAGGGTACGATGGCAACTCTCCACAGCTGGTATTCAAACAATTATGTACGCTCCGCTGGATTGTCGTACTGAGCTCGAGCACACCGAGGTTTTCTTGTTTTTTCTTGTGTAAGACATCACATCCTGTGGTTGTAAGCCCCGATCTCTATTCAACTCCTCGCAGGTGGGACCGAGAGACCAGCAGCACGGCACGGGGCAACATCGCCTTTCGCTCGAGGCGGGCGCAACGGACTGCTATTTCCGTTTGCTTTTTTGGAACCGCGCGGCGACTGCGAAGGTAACACGACAATGCCTCGGAAGTTGTGTATCGTGTATTCTTGACGGCGATATTCGCGTTGCCTTGGGCTCGGTTTTAAGGACAAGGTCGCCCTTCCTCAGAACCGTAGCTGGCATTCATCTTACCATTCGGCAGAGAAACCACTGTAAATGCAGCGGCAGTTACCTAGAATCACCGAACCCCGTTTTTCTCCACGCGTTTCCCGTCTCCAATGCGCCGGCCCCCCTGTGTGTGATCCGTCAGGACCTAGCGTCCGTCTCCGCTGCAGAAGGGTCCCCAAGAAAGAAGGCGTTCGCCCGATCGACGGGCGACTTGTCGACCGCCGGTGGTGAACCAGTTATTAGTCTCGGACGACAGGCTGGGGAGGGGGAGGGGGGCCGCGGGTACTCGAGGTTCCACAGCGGTAAGAGTACCGGGGACAAGGGAATCGCAAGCCCGCGGCGAATCTCTTCTCGTGTTGAAATTTTACCTTCAAGCCCAAGTCGCACGCCGAGGAGAAAGCACCAGCAACAGGGATCCGTCGGTGGAGCGGCGGAAGACCTCCAGTCTGGAGACACAGCAACCCCGTCCTCGCCGCGCCCTGGGGTGGCCCAGCCAACGTCGGAGAGCGAAGGAGGCGTTGTTCGTCCGGCTATTCCCTCTGCGATGTGCACCATCGCGGGTGGCGTGGGCGCGACGAGCGTGAGCCCCAGGGGGGCCGTTGGCGGGATGGTTCGGCAACTCGCGGTGGCGAAACAGTACTTGAACCACTCCTTGGTAGTCCCTACGCCCCCCTCCCAGCCGACCGGTGATATCGATGCCTTCGACCGAGAACGGCCGGCGACGACAGGAGGAGCATCAATATCCTCAGCGGACGGCGGGCAAGATTTTGCGGGGAATGGCTACAGCAGCGGGGATTGCCGCCCAAGAACAACCCCGGCACATTCAAGTAGGGCACGAAGGGATAACAATCAAGAACCCGCCGGCATGAGCATATGGAGTTCCTCCATACCAGGCTTGTCCTCGAGGCCTCTCACGAGCAGCAGGGCGGTGTCTAGTGGTCCGAACGGGAACAGCTCGGGAGGTGTGTACGCACCAGCGTCGCGGGGCTGCCGCAAGCCTATGGTGCTGGCGTCTCCAAGGCGCGAGGAAGTCTCAGAGTCAACAGACATGTCTGCGGGGGGAATCTGCGGTGGCGGGGCGCGTTGCATGGCACCGAGCGCGTCGTGCTTTGGACTCGAAACGCGTTCTTCGCCAGCGCCAGCGAATACGCCGCCGCGAAAATTGCGCTGCAAACACCCCCACCGACGGAGAGAACACAGCCGAGAGGCGGCGGCGCAAAGCGGCTTCTCCGAAGCTGGCGTCGAAAGAATGGGAGAGGTCGGGTACATCGTCTCGTCGGCCTCTACCTGCAGGAGGGATTCGTGCGAAAAGGGCGGGCATAATGGGGTTTCAAGGGAAGGTTCCAGGCGTCAGCTTGCCGCATCGAATGATGGAAACAATAAGCTGTCAACACCACCCGGACAATCGACTGCTGATGCTGAAGCTGCTATTGCTGCGGTACCGAACCTATCGCTCGACTGCCTTGCACAACGCCCCTGAACCGCCCTACAACCACCCCCTTCACGTGAAGGGCCAACAAGGACTACCTCCGAGGCCGAACCCCCCAAGAGAGTAGATCCCGCCCACTACAAAGCGCCGCCTACGTGTATTTAGGGGTATGTGACAACAGCGACGAAAGTGTTTAGATACAGTAGTGCTTCACTCGGCCAAAAGTTTCGGTCATGTGCTGCCGCCTGGTACTGCAGTAGAGTTGGCCTCGGGTCGATTCGAAAGGTGAAACTCTTCAAATGAATAGATAGGGCTTAGGCCGCACGGGAGTAGCATTGAAAGTAGAATTGAAAGCGTTCTCACTGCCGATAACGGTAAGATACAGGCAAACGCGGTTGATTGTGTAGTGTGTACGTGGAGTGGAGCGAGTGTTTAATGCCAGAGTGGCGTTACTTTGAATATTCAAGAATATAAGAAATAGATCTTCTATTTGGGGTGGTCAAATTTGTTTCTTGCGGTTGTGTCTCAATGTGTTTTCCAAGGCATTCCTAATGGACGTATTTTGGTGAAAATAGTCAGTACATCATGGACGTTCATTTTGTGGACGATCCAATTGAGTGTACTCTCGTTTGTTTTGAGTAAACATATGTGCTTGTTGTGTGGTTTGCGCCTCATGGTCGATGCTTTCCACTGTTGCGTTGAATTGGATCATCTCTCCAGACGACACGTTGATGATGAGCAGTTGCATGTCGCGGGCTGGGGCAGCCTCCTCCTTAACCGAAGAACCGAGAGCTCTGACAAGGTAGCTCCGCACACGATTGGTTTTGCACGATCAATGTCGGGGTGAGGGAACACAAAGAAGATGAGGCTGAAGGCTTCCCTCTAAGGGGAACGAACGTGGTAGAAAGATTTCCTCGAAACAACACACACATGCATACACGCCGCGTGGTGCATTGCGTCACTACGGCGTCAGGCGCACACGCAACGCAGTTAAGTCTAGTGACTCACGCACTACTCGCGTTACAGCAGTACGCCATGTCCTAACACCGAAAAAGTGGCGCATGTGCTACATACGGTACGGTTTTGTGTCGCACCTCGGCCATCGTGACACGCAGAGCTCCGATGCTGCATCCACCGCGCCGCGCCGCCCTGGGCTCAGGAGATTCTACGCATACAGGATAACCGACGCCTGTACCAGAGTTGGAACGAATTCACTGTTCCGGTCGGAGAAAGGACAACAACAATCCTGAGCGACCAGGGTCCTTTTGGTGTGTTGGATGGGCAATAATCTGACCATTTTCATGCGGCCTTTTGTGCACGGACTCCATCTACGAGGTGCTTGCTGGGAGCAGATTCTGTGGTTCCTGCCAGTAGCATCGGCGTCAAAACCCGACAAAGCGAACGCGCCTATTCCTGCGGAAGCGCTGTAATATGCTAAGGAGGTCGGCCTTAGCGAGCAGGACTTCAAGGTGACCGAGTTTGAACTCACGCGAGACAAGATATTTGTCTACGCAGCAGTTCAGAAAAACGGCCATGACGGTACCCGAGTCCCCCCGCTGCTGAAACAATCCTAATCAATCCTCTGTGGAGAACGTTCGTGTGGATCGACGCATCTAGGTCTGGACAGGCGTCCCGTAGATCGACACGAACGAGCGTTGTCCACCCACATAATTATTCTCACCGTGAGTGAACTTGTGCACATAATCTAGATACCCTTTCACCCAGGGACGTCTCGACCATCTGCCTCATGCGCGATCAGGCAGGCGCACCTGCCTCGTGAGTGCTTCTCGCACAATAGCACAGATTAAAATTGCCAGAGCCTTCCATTACAGCAGTACGTGACGGTGTTGTCGCGGCGCCATATGCCAAACACCACCTCTAGCTGAATTTCGCCTTCATGCTACTCACGACAGCGATCGGTGCGAGCCCGGTCCCAATCTCCCATACTAGACTACAATACTGACAGTTTTGCTAAACCGCCCATGGGCGGCCCATGAAGTGCCGACCGTGGGCACCTCAACCTAGAAGTTAGCCACCTTCACATCAACCTAGAAGTTAGCCACCAGCGCCAACCTAGCACGTATCGTGTGGGATTGGGGTTGGGGTTACGGTCAGCGTTTGGGTTATTAGCCGCAATAGTGCCCGTTCCAAAAGTAGACAATCTATTGTTTAGGAGTACACTGGTACGGTTGAAGGGCTCTCATTGGCCGCCGATGGGCTGCCGACGGGCTACCCATGGGCAAGATCATGGGCCTGACGGGGTGCCCATGGGCGGCCGATGGGTCGTTCGGGAAAACTGTAGTGTGGGAGACCCCCCGGTCCGGCCGGAAAAAAAACAGCCGCGTTTGAGGTCCATCGACAACACCAAACACAACGTAGAGAACCAATCATCACGTCGGCCATGAGCAGTCCCTGGGTTGATCGTAGAGAACCAATCATCAGACATATCTCGGACAGTATGATAGAATTGCGGGCCTTCGTATCCATATACCTCCACGTTGTTGACAACTCGTCGAAACTCGTCCGTTGGGTACAACAGAGTTTCCACCTCCCCCCTTGCCTCGTTTCTTCTTTCTCCCATTGGTGCTTTATGTGCTTGATGTCTCCAGCTTTGACACACATGTTGAGGGGAGGGACGGGCGAAGCTACATGTATCTACAGTGCGGTGTGGGGGGTGGGAAAAATAGAGGCCTCCTATCGGCCCGCTGCGAGACTGTGCTGTAGCCCCAGCGCCCGCGCCCCCTCGGCAATGACGCCTCTCCGTTCATTTATAGCGGAGGATTTTACACGGGCGTGGGCCCCCGCCCGCCCATGACACTCACACAATATCACGCGGCATTCAGCAGGAGCGACACGCACGAGCAGAGACAGGGTGGTGAATACAAGACCAAGATCATACTACCTTACGACCTCGCTTGTTGCTGTTGGCACCGGAGGAAATAACCTTCTCGCCGTATCCCGTCCGTCCGCACATCAGCCGAGCTAGAGAGAGAGAAAGCGGACTCCGCTCAGTTGACGATTTGAGACGGTGGAACCGAGAACAGACAAGCAGACGAGGCAGAGAGGGAGCAGCAGGAATAGGACGGCAGTAGCAGAGGGAAGCGGAAAGCTTCGCGACCGTAGCGTGGGACCTACAAGCGTTGTGACACTTCTTCTGTGCGCTCGCCTGAGGCAAACACCTGTAGGCGGTTGGTTGCAGATACAGATCTTATTTACCGCCTCGTTCAGACAAGAGGGAGGAGCGGGACCGCCCCGACAGGATAGCCTTTCAGCTCCCTGTAGGATTATGTCAGCATGCTCACCGCGTCACGAGTGGGCCACAGGGTCACCGCGCAGCGTTGGAGTGAGAACAACCACATTGGCTTTTCGGGACATCAGGAAGAGGATGGTGATCGTTGTGGAAGCCGGAGACGGCGGGTGGGAGACTTGAAAAGCCAACCGCGAGGGACATGTGAGTGTTGAGACTCTTTTGTTTAAAGTTGAAAGCGCTTTTACAGTAGTTGGTAAGCTCATGTTTGTAATGGTTCGCTACCCCTACGGCGTTGTTCCACCGACGTGTGTGTACATATATGTAGTCAAACTGTGCGTGCACCCGCGGCTCTTCATCAGATGTGGAGATCAGATGCCAGGACATGATGTTCGTGCGGCCCACCCTTCTCGTGAATAAAACCGGCCGCAACAAAAGCCACCTGTACCCCTTTTACCCGTTAAGGTCTTCTCCGACAACCAATATAGAGCAGACCGTGGCGCAGGGTTGTGTACCAGACGCCACGAACAACTGACACTGTCTAGAGATGGCCGCGGGCGATTTAGACCCTTAGCGTTCCTTTTTGCCGGGGGCATATTTCTCTTGTAAAAGACAGATGTGAGATATTTATGTGGCAAACGATGTTTTTTATGCGCCGAATATGTAGGTATATTTCTACCATATTTCCGACGGGAAGATCTGTGATGTTGCATTAGACTACGCACGGCAAACACTAGAACTACATGGATGACAGAGTCTCCTAGATCCGGCACGTTCGACGAATTAGTGTGGTATAGGCTCAAATAGGACAAGCGCTCCAACCCGTACACTCTTGGTATAAACACGCCTAACAACAACGATACTCGCCCGCGCGTATACGCCAAAAGTAGACAAGCCCCTCTAACCCGCACTTTCTTGTTAAAAACTCTTTCTTGTTAACAAACACATCTGAAGAACACCAATACTCCCCCACACGCCAAAGGTAAACAAGCCCCGGGCCAACTCAAGCTTGGGGGGGTGGGGCGCAGCTCATGTTGTTTCTCGCGCCCGGGATCAACGCAACGAATACTAAACGCTGTTGGACGAAAACCTAGAGGGGTGGACTACTGGGGAGGGCAAAAATATAATACACTTTGAGTATACGTAGACAGGCTACATACACGCCAGAGAACTGGTTCATAAAGAAATAGTGGTGGAAAATTTGCTCTAAAGCCTCTGTGGCACCGGCCGTTCTGTAACCCTCGAGGAGGAGGATGGTATTTCTTCCGCATGAGAAACGCTTCTTGCCTTGGATTGATATTTCGACAGTACAGGTATTCTCACCGATTCCCCCCGCTTTACTAGAAGGTCGTCCTAACCGGCCGTTGGGGACGCCTCCAAATATACGACCCACAAGCCTGCTTAACTTGGAGGGGGAGAGGGTCATCAGACACCGATGTTGAAGGAGACGATGACTCCGTCACGGGGTCAACTCGTAGAACAGATTTCCCGCCGATCCCCCCGCTATACTAGAACGCCGTCCTAGCCCGCCGTTCGGCAGACCTCCGAATACTCGTCCAACCAGCCACTTCATGTTGGGGAGGGGGAGAGGGTCGCAATATTGATACCGATGTTGCGGCCCCGTCCCCCCTCCGGCCAACTTCAACAGGCTTGTTGGTCTTGTTTTTGGAGGTCTCCGCAATGGCCGGCTGGGACGACGTTCTATGAAAGCGAGGGGATCGGTGGGAAAACCTGTTCTACGGGTTGACCCGGTAACGGAGCCATCGTCCCCTTCTTCTTCCACGGGGACCTCCGCAAGATCAACACCCAAGCGGACTCTTCCTGTGCCTCCGAGCGAAGGTGCGATGGTTTGCCCAACAACGTCGCCGCCCCGGTCCACCCAAAACCAACAAGTATAGTCTAGGCCCGCTACCACTCGCTAGCTTTGTGCTAAGTTTGTGCTTCGCCTAAACCTTTCGCCCCCCCGCCCCCTCAAAACCATCGATGATGCATGAGCTTTTGGTCGGCTGCTGCGTCCCAGGATGGCATGGTGATCGAGGGGGGCGGCATATGTACGCAGATACCAAAACCTTGGGTGGTACCAGTATTTCCCCTTCGTCTTGGGTCGTGTCGATCCCTGCCTGTCCACTCGAAACACCATGAATTCCGGTTCGCGTTCTGTTTGTCAAGCGGTGGATGCGCCTTCCAAAGGCGAGTACCGTCCTGAAAGGGGCGCCGTTCAAATCTACCCTGCTGGTACCCGAATTGTGTGTAATCGATAAAACCCCGAATAATATTGGCGCTTATCATGAGGAATGCTCGGCAGACCCCCCTCCCCCCGATGGGCGTCGAGTTTTTGGTTGGCGACGCCTCGGCTTCTCACCCAAACTCCTGGACCCTATATTCTCCGTTATTGTTTGATATTCCCGCAACAACCAGATGCCGGTGTAGACAACCCCGCGGACAACGAGCAGAGCGTTGGGGGCAACGACAGCCCAACAAGCAGCTCCTCCATGCTGTTCGATGAGCTGTCGTCGACCCCACCGCTCTGTTCGTTGTCCGCTCGGCTGTTCACGCCGCCATCTCGTTGTTGCGGCAACGTCAAACAACCACGGCGCTACCTGTCCCGGGACGTCCGCTTGCCGGCAGCGGCGGCGGGAGCGATGGCCGATGACGGCGTTGGCAGCACGGCGGAGTCGCCGGCGGTTAGGGGGGAGCGTGTGGCGGGGGCGACGCCTGCGGTGGTGGCGTTGGGTACGGCGGCGGAGGTGTTGGGCAAGCTGCGGGCTTCCCGGGTACTACTCACCGACCGCACGAGTGGTCATCCGACGACCGCGCCGTTCGACAACCGACCGGAGGCGGGCAATCGACCATGGTAAGAAGTGGCCACAGCGTTTGGTTTCGCTCAACAATGCCATTGTAGTGGTACGTTCGTGTTAGAGTATAACGTCGAGCGTCGCGGGTGCTACTTTGACTTTTTCTGAATACTATTGTCGTCTAGACTGTGCAGCGTCGTACGAAGGCCCGACCTCGGGAATGTGTTGAAAAATGCCGAAATTGTAACTACAACCTGCTTGTTCCCCACTCACCCCCCGTACTTCTCAAACCTTCCCACCCTTCCGAACACCCCACACCCACGCATCACCCACGCGCACCCTGTCCCTGCAGTTCGACGCTGCGATACAGCCGCCGCCGCCATCCAAGGACACGGGCGATGTCGACGCCATCATCTCCGAGTCGTTCCACACGCTGTTCGACAGGGAAGACTCGATCTTCCGCTCGTCGCCGTCGCCAGCATGCCCGCGGTTCTCACCGCCGTGACCGCCGTGACCGCCGTGACCGCCGCCGTCGTCGCCGTGCCCGCCGGCCTCGACGGTGACGGCGATCGAGACGGCCACAGCATCAACGGGTACTCGCCGTTTGGGGATCATTTGTTGTCCAGCCTGTCCAACAACGACTCACCGCCTTCCCGGTCGCTCGCCGCTGCTCCAGGGCTGCAGGGCGTTGGCGATCGGGGCGTGAAGGAGGACCTTCTCAGGGGGACCATCCTCCAGTCCCTCCTCGAGGTGCCCGAGATCGAGGCCGGGGGCCAACGCGGACACCGAAGGCACGAGCAGGATAGGCAACGACGTGTACACCAGCACTACCGAAGTATCTCGTTCTTCCCTGGCCGTCGGGTGCGGGTGCACGTACATCGCGAACGAATCGGTCACCATCGAGAGCTCCGAGTCTCACCGTGCGAGCGGGGCGAGCGCACGTCTCGGTGAGACTCGGAGCTCTCGATAGTCACGGATTCGCTCGCGACGTAGGTGCAACCGTACCCGACGGCCATGGATGAAGGAGCTCCTTCCGTAGTGCCGGCGTACACCTCGCCATCGATCCTGTTGCTGCCTTCTGCCTCACCGTTGCCCGTCGCGGTCTCGATCTCCGGGGGCTTGAGGAGGGATTGGAAGATGGAACCCTCATGAGATGCTCCTGCACATCCGGATCGCCAAGGCCCTCCAGCCCCGTAGCAGTGTCGGGCTACGGGGAAGGCGGCGGTGAGTCGTCGTAGGACAAAACCGGCAAGTTCGACGCTGCGATACAACCGCCGCCGCCATCCAGGGACGCGGGCGATGTCGACGCCATCATCTCCGAGTCTTTCCACGCGCTATTCGACCTTGAGGACTCGATCTTCCGCTCGTCGCCGTCGCCGCCGTCGTCGGACAGACGCCGTGCAGCAGCAGCAGCAGTAGCAGTAGCAGCAACAGAAGCATCCGCAAAGTTGACTTGCTTGGGAGCTCGGTCGCTGCGCCCGGAATATCGCTGCTGGTGCGGCATGCCTGCACATGGCGCCGCGTGACCGCGGCTGACGCTCCTCGGCACCTCCGGACTGTTGTCTTCCTTGTTGCCTAGGATTGATATTTCGATTGCTGACAGAACAGGTATTCTCACCAATTCCCCCCGCTTTACTAGAAGGCCGTCCTAACCGGCCGTTGGGCCTTCTTGCCTAGGATTGATATTTCGATTGCTGACAGAACAGGTATTCTCACCGATTCCCCCCGCTTTACTAGAAGGTCGTCCTAACCGGCCGTTGGGGACGCCTCCAAATAAACGACCCACAAGCCTGCTTAAGTTGGAGGGAGAAGATGGTCGCAACATCAGACACCGATGTTGAAGGAGGCGATGACTCCGTCACGGGGTCAACTCGTAGAACAGATTTCCCGCCTATATAGAACGCCGCCCTAGCCCGCCGTTCGGCAGACCTCCGAATACTCGTCCAACCAGCCTTTTCATGTTGGGGAGGGGGAGAGGGTCGCAATATTGATACCGATATTGCTACCCCGTCCCCTCCCCGCCAACTTCAACAGGCTTGTTGGTCTTGTGTTTGGAGGTCATATATATATATATATATATTCCCCAATGGCCGGCTGGGACGGCGTTCTATGAAAGCGAGGGGATCGGTGGGAAAACCTGTTCTACGGGTTGACCCGGTAACGGAGCCATCGTCCCCTTCTTCTTCCACGGGGACCTCCGCAAGATCGACACCCAAGCGGACTCTTCCTGTGCCTCCGAGCGAAGGTGCGATGGTTTGCCCAACAACGTCGCCGCCCCGGTCCACCCAAAACCAACAAGTATAGTCTAGGCCCGCTACCACTCGCTAGCTTTGTGCTAAGTTTGTGCTTCGCCTAAACCTTTCGCCCCCCCGCCCCCTCAAAACCATCGATGATGCATGAGCTTTTGGTTGGCTGCTGCGTCCCAGGATGGCATGGTGATCGAGGGGGGCGGCATATGTACGCAGATACCAAAACCTTGGGTGGTACCAGTATTTCCCCTTCGTCTTGGGTCGTGTCGATCCCTGCCTGTCCACTCGAAACACCATGAATTCCGGTTCGCGTTCTGTTTGTCAAGCGGTGGATGCGCCTTCCAAAGGCGAGTACCGTCCTGAAAGGGGCGCCGTTCAAATCTACCCTGCTGGTACCCGAATTGTGTGTAATCGATAAAACCCCGAATAATATTGGCGCTTATCATGAGGAATGCTCGGCAGACCCCCCTCCCCCCGATGGGCGTCGAGTTTTTGGTTGGCGACGCCTCGGCTTCTCACCCAAACTCCTGGACCCTATATTCTCCGTTATTGTTTGATATTCCCGCAACAACCAGATGCCGGTGTAGACAACCCCGCGGACAACGAGCAGAGCGTTGGGGGCAACGACAGCCCAACAAGCAGCTCCTCCATGCTGTTCGATGAGCTGTCGTCGACCCCACCGCTCTGTTCGTTGTCCGCTCGGCTGTTCACGCCGCCATCTCGTTGTTGCGGCAACGTCAAACAACCACGGCGCTACCTGTCCCGGGACGTCCGCTTGCCGGCAGCGGCGGCGGGAGCGATGGCCGATGACGGCGTTGGCAGCACGGCGGAGTCGCCGGCGGTTAGGGGGGAGCGTGTGGCGGGGGCGACGCCTGCGGTGGTGGCGTTGGGTACGGCGGCGGAGGTGTTGGGCAAGCTGCGGGCTTCCCGGGTACTACTCACCGACCGCACGAGTGGTCATCCGACGACCGCGCCGTTCGACAACCGACCGGAGGCGGGCAATCGACCATGGTAAGAAGTGGCCACAGCGTTTGGTTTCGCTCAACAATGCCATTGTAGTGGTACGTTCGTGTTAGAGTATAACGTCGAGCGTCGCGGGTGCTACTTTGACTTTTTCTGAATACTATTGTCGTCTAGACTGTGCAGCGTCGTACGGATGCCCGACCTCGGGAATGTGTTGAAAATTGCCGAAATTGTAACTACAACCTGCTTGTTCCCCACTCACCCCCCGTACTTCTCAAACCTTCCCACCCTTCCGAACACCCCACACCCACGCATCACCCACGCGCACCCTGTCCCTGCAGTTCGACGCTGCGATACAGCCGCCGCCGCCATCCAAGGACACGGGCGATGTCGACGCCATCATCTCCGAGTCGTTCCACACGCTGTTCGACAGGGAAGACTCGATCTTCCGCTCGTCGCCGTCGCCAGCATGCCCGCGGTTCTCACCGCCGTGACCGCCGTGACCGCCGCCGTCGTCGCCGTGCCCGCCGGCCTCGACGGTGACGGAGAACGAGACGACCACGGCATCAACGGGTACTCGCCGTTTGGGGATCATTTGTTGTCCAGCCTGTAAAACAACGACTCACCGCCGCCCCCGTCGCTCGCCGCTGCTCCAGGACTGCAGGGCGTTGGCGATCGGGGCGTGAAGGGGGACCTTCTCAGGGGGACCATCCTCCAGTCCCTCCTCAAGGTGCCCGAGATCGAGGCCGGGGGCCAACGCGGACACCGAAGGCACGAGCAGGATAGGCGACGAAGTGTACACCAGCACTACCGAAGTATCTCGTTCTTCCATGACCGTCGGGTGCGGGTGCACGTACATCGCGAACGAATCGGTCACCATCGAGAGCTCCGAGTCTCACCGTGCGAGCGGGGCGAGCGGACGTCTCGGTGAGACTCGGAGCTCTCGATAGTCACGGATTCGCTCGCGACGTAGGTGCAACCGTACCCGACGGCCATGGATGAAGGAACTCCTTCCGTAGTGCCGGCGTACACCTCGCCATCGATCCTGTTGCTGCCTTCTGCCTCGCCGTTGGCCGTCGCGGTCTCCATCTCCGGGGGCTTGAGGAGGGATTGGAAGATGGAGCCCTCATGAGATGCTCCTGCACCTCCGGATCGCCAAGGCCCTCCAGCCCCGTAGCAGTGTCGGGCTACGGGGAAGGCGGCGATAGGTCGTCGTAGGACAAACCGGCAAGTTCGACGCTGCGATACAACCGCCGCCGCCATCCAGGGACGCGGGCGATGTCGACGTCATCATCTCCGAGTCTTTCCACGCGCTGTTCGACCTTGAGGATTCAATCTCCCGCTCGTCACTGTCGCCGCCGTCGTCGGACAGACCCCGTGCAGCAGCAGTAGCAGTAGCAGCAACAGCAGCACCCACGAAGTTGACTTGCTCGGGAGCTCGGTCGCTGTGCCCGGAGTAATGCTGCCGGTGCGACGTGCCTGCGCAGGGACCAATCTCCCGAGCAAGTCAACCTCGCGGATTCCGCGGCGTGGTTCGTCGTCGGCCCCGTGCTGGGGGGGGGGGGTAGGTGGTGGTGGGTACTGCTGCGGCGGCAGTACGCCTGCCCTGGTCCCCATCGCCGTCGCCGCCATGCCCGGGGTCCTCGCCGCCGCCGTCGTTGGACACAAACCGTGCTGCAGCAGTAGGAGTAGCAATAGCAGCAGCAGCAGCAGCGGCGGCGGCGGCCTGGGCACGGCACCTCCGGACTGTCGTATTCCTTCTCCGCCGAACGCATCGGTTTGGGGTGAAGCCGCTCCACCCCAAACCGATGCGGTCAGCAGAGACGAAAGACGATAGTCCGGAGGTGCCGTGGAGACAAGGTCACCGACACCGCCCCCATCGCCCGGCAGAACCGTCCCCATTACCCGGCTCGGCGAACGGGGAGGTCGGAACCACGCAGTAAAGGCGTTCGTTGTCGTCGAAGCCACGGCATCGTCAGCGCCGCCCTCCGCCGTGGGCCCCGGACTTCGTCGGAAGCGGGGACCGGGACGGGCGCTTCCTCTCCCAGCACGGGGACGACGACGGACAGCCACGCCGCGGAATCCGCGAGGTTGTCTTGCTCGGGAGATCGGTCCCTGCGCCTGGAATAATGCTGCCGGTGCGACGTGCCTGCCCATGCCGTAACATGACCACAGCTAACGCTCCACGACACCTCCGGACTGTCGTATTCCTTCTCTACTGACCGCATCGGTTTGGGGTGGAGCCGTTCCCGAGCCGCTTCACCCCAAACCGATGCGGTCAGTAGAGAAGGAATGCGGCAGTCCGAAGGTGTCACGGAGCGCGGCCGCGGTCAAGTGGCGGCGTGGGCAGGCACGTCGCACCGGCATCATTATTCCGGGCGCTGAGACCGATCTCCCCAGCAAGACAACCTCGCGGATTCCGCGGCGTGGCTGTCCGCCGGCGTCCCCGTGCTGGTAGAAGAAGCGCCCGCCCCGGTCCCCGCTTCCGACGACATCCGGGGCCCGGGGCGGCGGCGGCGGCGGCGGCGCTGACGATGCCGTGGCTTCGACGACAACGAACGCCTTCACCGCGTGGTTCCGGTCTCCCCGTTCGCCGAGCCCGGCGACGGGGACGGATCTGCCGGGCGATGGGGGCGGTGTCAGTGACCTTGTCATCATTGGTGCGTCCGTTCTTCGACAGGATGCACGACGATGACAACGACGACGAAGCCAACATCCACAGGGAGTAGGGCCTCGGCAAAGAAGGAGACGGAAGCGAGGTAACCGTGGACAGAAAACCCTGGGACCGCCACCATTCCGCGCAAGATGGACGTCAGCGACGACAGACACGATCAAGTTGTGGGGTGCGCCAGAAGAGCGCACGCTGTCTAAAGGAGATAGGAGCGGATTCTTCGTGCAATTATCACGGGACAGCGTTCATGCGTATGTTTGTTTATTGATGACGTGCCCCGGATTGGATCGTGTCCAATCAATTCCGCTTCAAACTGAAGCTTGTTGCTCCGGGTTCTTCGCAGGAGCGTTAGGTAGCGCGTTAAACAGCGGTCGCGTCGTGCCCCCGACAAAAGAAAATAGGCTTTTCAATAATCTTGCCCTCAGTTGCATCCGCTGTGCACTTTATGTATGATAATATCTCGAAGATACAGCATTTTTGCTGATACAGTTGAAAGTAACGAAAATCAGCAACAAGATGCAGATCCATTGTATGCATGCCTTCGTGTCTTTCACTGGCGAATTGTCCAGTTACGCTGGAGAGTGCGATGATCTCGTGTGTTTTGCTTGGGACGGGAGTAGGCTGCTTGTATTCCGGCCTCTTCGCCTAAGATGTTGTGGCCCCGGTGAAGAGGTTGATTTGGTGCAATAGGCACCGCATCGATCGGTGCACAGAATTTTGTGTGTTTCGACCTTCAAGGTTAGAAAGGTTCTTGTCTTCGCTGGGTTATCTGCAAGCGACGCCGCGGCAGCGGCTTCGCGCTGTGTGTATTATTGTGGTGGTGTTGTGGAGGTACAGGTAACTTCCACCACGCGTCGCGTTGTGCAATAACTAACATATTTCGTTGCGTGCATGTCTACTGTACTGCTGTAGCGTTCCTGTCGGTGGGGCCTTTGTCCCCTCTCGTCAATGGAGTTGTACGATTACTGTAGTAGCCCTCTTACACCAAGCGTAGGTGTGTCCTATGGTACCGATAGATTATAGCGTGAGGCCGTCGCCAGCGGAGACCCATACAAGTAGCATAAGCTCGGCGTCCTGTCCACAGTCATGGATGTGGGCGCGGGCAGCTGAAGGGGCACACGCAAGATAATACCCAAAAATAGTCTTTCAACGAAGAGTACCCGGATCTACACGTACTAGACACAAACACACTTCTTTTTCACGATGTACATGACCTGTATGCTGCCCGGCCGAGAGGCACCCACCGAGGGGAATAATGTATAGTACCCGGTCGCAACTCGGTTTGTATAGCGCGCGCCCCCGAAGCCAGACAATGAGATACGCGTGCGCCACGCAATTGGTACCAATTTGTACCTGATACTATCTTGCGCCACGAACGGCGGGGTCGAGCAAAGGCCATTGGTGGACAGCAGCGTGGGGTCGCGTGCCATAGACTATGCGCAACCACCTGTTGCCCACCCGCCTAGACTACATCTCTTGTTTGGTGACGTCAAACTCAGTCACCATGAAATCCTGCTCGGCCGAGGCCGACCTCCTTTGCATATTTGAACGCCTCGGGGGGGGATGAGGCCGACATCGTTTGCATATTTGAACGCCTCGGGGGTGGGTGGCCACATTTGCCTGATTTGAGGCTCATATCATCACCATAGGATACCACTGAATCCGCTAGACGGCGTAATATATATAAGGCGCCTCTAACAAGGTCGCAGCGGACATAGACTACATAGATTTCCCCACAGGGAACATCTTCGACCCTGACCGATTGGTGTTCCCATCCTCTTCGACCATGGGACGGGCGTCGACGATCCTGTAGAATTCCATGCAGGTGCCAGAGCCTGCAGTAGGGCGGCGCGGGGGACGTGGTATCGGAGCTCTGTGTGTGACGATAGCAGTGGCGCGGCGGCGGCGGCGGAAATCCGTCAAAATGTCTTCTGCGTTAGAAACAGATATCCGTGTTACTTTCGTGACACGTTGTGACACCCAGGAATTGAGCGCATTGGATGTGTAACTGTGCGTGACGTATAGCAGTAGCGCATGGAGCGCATACATTGTTGTTGTTGTTGTTGTTGTTGTTGTGCACCGTTGGTCTCCGCGCATATGTGTCACTTTTGCTGCACTCAAACAAGGTTGCTCATGTCAGCTCATGTTGTTTTGGAACCAAAATCCAAGCGGTGAACACCCGGGGCTGCGCGTCAATTACCCCCCCCCCTCTCTCATGCGCCGTTAGTAGTCCTACTTGTACCCTTCTCGTCTCGCTGATGCCAAGCCCTCTGCTGCCAGCAGCCACGGCTAACCGCCTCGGACATCTCGCCATTGCAGTAACGGTTGCATTTGGCTGCGCACGGCCCTCTACAGCCTTCGTGGCGAATACCCCTCTATCAACCAGATCGGCTGTGGAAGTGACAAGGAGGGGCGGGCAACGAGCCTTGAGAATGGGTTCACCGCCACTTGGAGCCGAGGAAAGGGTGGTCATCGTCGGTGGCGGAATAGGTGAGAGAGGGCTGCGAAGTATGACGTAGGCGGATAGTTCGAGGAAGCCCAAGTGGGCACCGGTGTACCGGTGTACCCGTGCACACATGTGTAAATATGCGGCGGAATAGAATGGATTTAGATATCTCGGAGTTTAACAATGCCGGCACACAGCAGTACCGTGCCAGCATTGCATCTGTTGTCATCACGCGTGTTTCCGAGCCCGCCACAATTGACAGCGTGTGCGCCAACAAAACTTTGGGAGTGAACGTGTACAGATCGGGACACCAAGGACAAAAGTCTTGCGTTCTTTCAGACTACAGCAGTTTTACACGTTCGAGGTTCTATTTACAAGTACAATACGGTGTGTGCATGCCATGCCGCAGCAAAACGCAGCAGTCACACAGGCGCGTCGCTCTTTCACTGCGATACAAATGTTTCCTCGCGCGACGTGAGCAGAACCACCTGTGTTCGTGGATGGGCATACGCCATTTGATTACCAGAGTCGGATGGTCCGTTGCAGTTAGCCCGCTCCTCGTCACTTAATTGTGCAGATGCCGCTTTGTGAATGCTGTCCGATACTGCTGTACGGAATTTTCAAGACTACACACACTCTTGCCGCGCAACATAACTTGACGAGGAAGTGTATCCACTTAGCATCTACGGCCCTCATAAGCGGACCGATGAATAGAGTCAGAGGCTACAGCCGGTACGAAAACAGCCAGGAACAAATTATACACCCAGCATCCGGCAGGCTTTGTCCACCACTCGCTGCCAAGACTTCCGGCACACATTGTGGAACCCGTGGTAACGATTTTGCACACAAAGTGTCAACGCGCACAGCAGTTGGTCCCTGCGAAAATAAACGCCCCGCAAATGTCTTGCGCTTGGCTCCCGAAAAGGTACAGGTTGTTCACATGCTTGTCTCCCAAACCTATCTCAAAATACGAGACGCCCGCGTGTACTTGACCTATGTGCCCCCGCCCACGTTTGCCGTGAAAACAGTGGTCGTTGGCCGCCCCAGCATGGCCTTTAAAAAACTTGCCCTCATATCAAGCTGTGTTTGTCCCACATGGTTTCTGGGTGGCACACCGTTTCAAGTGGTACGATTCCTTCCCTTTTTGTCCGCTGTCATGTCTAAAACCGCCCCAATAATAATCGCGCGGAACAAAAAATTGAAAACCACCTACGACAACGATCACGACGACGACGACGACGACGACAACGACAGTGGGAGCCAGCACCGCTTACCACCTGGCGCTTCGGGGAGTGAAGCCCATCGTCATCGAGCGCAGCAACGTCGCCGCCGCCGCCAGCGGCAAGGCCGGGGGTTTCCTGGCCGGCGGCTGGGGCAGCGGCCCGACGGTGCCCATGCACGAGATTAGCTTCGACATGCACGAGAAGCTAGCGGAAACCCTGGGGGTCACGTCTTACCGCAAGATCCCGACCCTCTCGGTACGGAGTCTCGTGTTTTGTTCCTTTCCGGTGTATTTTTCGGATCTAGAAAATCACGGAGTTTTTGCGACGGCGCGCTATTTCCGTACTCGATATTTTGGCGAGTACAGGGGGTAGGGTGCGCTGAGTTGTTGTTGTTGTTGTTGTTGTTGTTGTTGTTGTTGTTGTTGTTGTGGTGGTGGTTGCTGTTGTTGTTGTGGTGGTGGTGGTGTTGTAGTTGTGGTGGTGGCGGTGGTTATGTGGGTGGTGGAGGTGGTTGATGTGGTCTGGACTCAGGCGAGTGATGACATCGCCGTCGTCGCAGTAGCCCTGCGTTACTATTTTCTCTCCGCCGCTGCTGTGCCCGCCGCTTTGTTGAAATTTGTTCTCGTTGTGTTCTGCTGTTGTTCCTTCCCGACCCCTCCCCTTCTCTTTTCGCCACTTCGTGTCGACGTCGATGGCGCCGTGCGGCACCGTAAACAACAACGCGACACAGGTGAATGGAGGGCGGGGTGGGTCTTCGCCTGCGGCTTGGCTGGACGGGAAGGCCTCTGGCTCGCTGATGGATTCGGACACGGCTCAGGTGTGCTTTCGTTGTTGTCGAGGACAACGCATTTGTGTCATGCCTTCCATCCCATGACCGAGCGTAGTTCTGGGTTTCCTTCCATTCGGTGACCGAGCGTAGTTGGTCGGTTGTCCGCAGCAGTAATAGCCCCCCCATCGCATGCCTCATCCCGGATTTGCAGCGGAGCGAGATATATCGTCGACGGACTACGGCATGCGGGCATGATAATGCCCCCCCCACCCCCTCCGAATAGCTCACGGTGCTTCGCGCTTGGTGATGTGACAGCCTGGTCCGGTGAGAACCCGGCGTGCTCCGTCCTTGTAGGGATGCGAGGTAAGTGGTCTAACGATTACGGCATGCACGACTATGAGTACACCCACCCCCACCCCCACCCCCTCCGCGTAACGCCAAGCATGACCACCAATAATGTTCTGTGTTCGTCAGGTGACTCCGTTGGAACTGACCACGAAACTCATGGATGCGGCTAAGGAGAAGGGGGCGGAGGTGCGGATAGCCACGGTGTCGGGAGTGTCGAGCTCTCCCGCGGAGGTCGCGGACTTGGATGGGGGTGCCGGGAAAGAGGAAGATGGAGGGGAACGTCGCGTCACGGCCGTGGTGCTGGAAGACGGGGAGGAGATTGCATGCGACCGGGTGCGATAGCTCATTTGCCACAGCAGGAATGTGTGTTTGTCTTGCGCGCGGAGGAAATGCCACCAAGCACCGAACACGTGTGTACGAGTGGTCGTCAACGTGAATCACGACAACAACGACGACAGCGACGATAGATAGCAACAACAGTAGAGCACCATCGAGGGTAGGGGTTCGGGGGGGTGTCAAGACAAACTTGTGGTTTCTGCCTCCAAACCACAACTGATGCGCCCTCTCTCTCTCTCTCTCTCTCTCGCTCACGCACACTCCTGGCGGGAGCATAACTGATGCGCCCCCCCTCTCTCTCTCTCTCACACACACACACGCTCTCTCTCCCCTCGCCTTCACCTCTACCAAACATCGCCTCTTCACAAACGCGCATGCAATGTTGAGGTCACTACTGTCTTTATTGCTTATGTGCCCAAACTGGCATTGCTTACAATGCCGCCGCCTTGAGAACGTCACTGTTTTGGGCAACCCTCGCGGCTCATTTCCTCTGTGAGGAATCCAGCAGGTAATATGGTAGATTTTTGTGTATAATGGAATACCCAATTTCTTATATAGTCTATTTTTCAGGTTGAATCCACCCAGTTCTTAATCACCAATTTTTCTAGAGGTGGCGTTGTTTTTGTTCGCGTTATTCATGCGTTCCTCCTCCGCCGTTTTCTCGTCCCCGTCCTCAATTATCTCCGTCGTCTTGTTTCTTTTTTTGGTTCTGCCTATAGGTGGTCGTGGCCATGGGGCCGTGGTCCTGTCTGGCGGAGGAGTGGTTCGACATTGCCGTTCCCATGCAGGTTTGCCGGATGCTTTCTCCCCTCCGGTTTCGTTGGTTTGCCGATTAGTGGATGGCCTCGGATACGCCGTTGCTTGGCGCGATGTTTTGCATTGACTTTTTCCTCGGGCTGAGGGTCGGGTTCAGGGGGGGGGGGGTGTACTCATAGTCGTGCATGCCGTAGTCGTTTGACCATTGACCTCGCATCCCTACAAAGCCGGGACGGAGCACGCCGGGTTCTCACCGGACCAGGCTCTCACATCACCAAGCGCGAAGCGCCGTGAGGTATTTGGCGAGTCGCATGAAGGGTGAGCTGCCATCCTGCTAAGGGTGTTCGGCATCTTGTGCTTACTTCCTTGCGTACGGATGACAGCTGCGTATGACTTAATTTATTTTCTGGTGCTTTCACTTCCAGAGACAGTTGTAAGCACTGTGTAACTGCCTCGAGGAAGCTTGACCATTTTAACACAACGTGGTGCGATCATCCCCCGTTGCGCGGAGTGAGGTTTCTCCACCCCGCACAACATGATCTACTCGACCACCATTATGGTTACCGCCAAAAAAAAAAACCGAGGTAAAAAAAAAAACGGTAACCTGGTTGCCGAGTT